GGTACATCCTCGGTAACAGAGGGGCAGCTGAATCGTCTCGGTGAATTCCAGGGCTCTCGCGGAAGCATTGCTGGGAGTCCAGCCAGACAAGGTTGGGGGGAAAACTAATTCTACTGATGGGAATACTGAACCCTTCCCCCCAAAGTGAGCCCTCCTCCAAGAAGGAGACCAAGTGGGGAGCTGAGTATATGTGTTGGCCTCTGGCACCTCTGGGTTTAAACCACTAACTAAACACATGGTCCTAAGCAAGTGACGGGCCTTTGCTCATCTCTATTTCCTCACATACAAGCAAACGTCACACGTAGTTTGTTGCAAGGAATACATGCGTTAACTCCTTTTGAAGTTTCCAGCAAATAATACGTATTAAAGAAATGCAAGCTCCTGTCTTTGTTTGTGCAGAGGCAGGGGCGGGCAGAGGAGGTGGTCACAGAGAACAAACAGAAAATAACACATTTTTCTAAATGAAGGTCAAGGTGGGACTCGCGCAGGCTGGCAGCTTAGACAGGCCCCTCTTTCCTCTCCTGTCACCTGGAAGCAAAACACCTTCCCGGGCTAAGGAGCTGCTGGGCTGGCAAACAGAGAGAGTGACTCTTTCAAAGAGTAACGGAACGATCTGGGTGCTTCTATATTAAAAATACATAGAAATGAGTAAATAAAAGTATATCCATAAAACTCGTTAAACGTCACTCGGAAATCACCGCCATTTCCCATACACCATGATCAGACTTCACTGGGCCATTAGAAACAGGTCTCTCACCTGTGCAATGAAGACGCTGGCCATCCACTCCATCTGAGTTTGTAAACTGTCACAACACAGGTGCCTGCGGAGAAAGATTTATGAATATACAAATCAAGAAGACTGTGCTCCAGTGTGTTTGGTGATTAGGTGATCAGAAATCCCTTTGGATTTCTGACTGATGACCTCATGCAGTCAAAACGAGGGTGTTACAGTGCCAGTTGCTTCAGGCTTCTGTTAAGTGTACAATATCTAAATAATAGCGTGCATGTGCTATTTGAAACAAAATACGGCTAAGGTTTTGATAACTGCTGAACAGTGACCAGCAATATTTTTGGGAAGGCAGGAAGGTCAATGTTTTTTGCTTTTTCACGTGTATAATAGTAAAACATCTTTTGCCCTGGAGACTCCCAGCCTGAGAAGAAAAATACGTGCACGTTTTCCTAACAGCAGATTTTTAAAAAGGCTTAGACAGTCTCCATCATTATGATCGTAAACATTAATACCCACAAGGCTCGTGAAAAACAAACTAAATGAAAAACCACTGCTTGTCCAACAACGTCTGTTACTGAAAACCTATATAACAGAGACCTTGCCCTCAAGACTCACACAGTCCATTAGGGGAGCCAGGCATGTGAACAAATATTAAAACAGCGAGAGAAACAAAAAGCTGAACACAAACGTAGAAACAGCACACTTGGGGATGAGTCAGAGGTTGCTTCCCATGGGAGGAAAATTTTGTGACTCATTAAAATGAGAAAACGGGCATTTCAAGGAAACCCTATTTTTTAGATTCCTGTACAATAAAAAGTAACTTATTTAGAAAAATGTTAAAATTTCCAAAATATTCTTGCTTCATTATATTCTCATAAAGACACTGCCCCTTCCCGTTACCAGGTCCAAGAAAACCCTTCTCCCTACAGTCATTTCCATTACGCACCCACGTGTACAAAATACCGTAGATGCGAAGACGACACGCGTGACGCTGAGGTGACAGCTCTGGGCTGCGGGGAGTTTGAGCCGCGGGTGAGCGGGGGAAGCTGAGCCTGCCGGGGGAGCAGGCGGGGACGCCGGCGAGGAAAGGACGGAAGAAGGCTCAGCAAGGGGACCACATCTCTTAAACGTGTAGCAATGAAACAGCACGGCGCGTATGGTGAATTAAAGACAGAGAATTGTTTTATCCCTTAGTGAAAAGGGACGGTCCGGGCGGTGAAGCTGATGGAACCCGTGTGTAAGGGTCTTGCATGCCATGCCGACAATTCTGTACTTTATCCCCTAGGCAGGAGTCACAGAAGAGTTGTAGAGCAGGAAAGAAACATGATACATTTTAGAGTTTCCCTGGTGCCTGGGTGGGGAATGTACTAGAAAACAGAAGCCACGCCGGAGCCAGGAAGAGCGCTTAGAGCTTGAATAACCCCGGCAGATGAAGGCAGGCGCGGCCCTGCGGACGCAGGGCTCTGGGCGGATGGGGGAGATAACGAAGGGGCAGATCCGGGACAGTTTAGTGATGGAGTAGACAAGGCAGGTGAGAGGGAGGAGACGAACAGTACAATCTCTCAGGGTGGCTAGGTCCTGGTGGCGTCAGGGGAATAGAGCACATGTATGTCAGGAGCAGGTTTGAGGCCAAGATTTTTTTTTAAATTGAGCTTTGGCTGGTTCGTATCCTTTATTTAAAACTGAATTTTGCCAGCTTATCCCATAAGAGCCAGGATTCCACACTCAATAACTAGGAAGAAATCAGATACAGTTTCTCTTAAGAGGTACCGGCAACTGGGACACATGGGATTGAAATGGACCTAAACCAGGAAAGCAAATATATTGTCCCCTTCCTAGACTAAGTATTTAGTAAAGATTTTACCTTCGTTCGGTGACACATTTCCTGTCTAGAGATCGATCTGCCAAATCATAACATCATTTGTTTACTGATGTTACCCATCAATACATCAAACCCCCAAACGGCCGGCTGGTAACTTACCAATGATGTTTTTCAGAACATGCTGTCAATCCCCAACTGCATCACATGGAAAAAAACACAAACATGTTCAAAATGATAAATGTTACAAGACTGGAAACAGGATCGGATGCTGAGGTGGTGACATTTAATGGNCAAAATGATAAATGTTACAAGACTGGAAACAGGATCGGATGCTGAGGTGGCGACATTTAATGGAAATGCATAACAAATGATTCCATGGGTGTTATTTATCTAGAGGTGAGTGATAAATGTTGAGGGATTTGGCTACAAACATAAATATGACGAAGGGGGACAGGGAAGGAGCCTCGTGATGTCATGGGGTAGTGGGGAAAATCTCAGACAATGGTCCTGGCTGAGGAAAAGCAGATGTCTAGGAAAAGTGGCCAAAATAAGACAATATGCATACTGAACTGCTGATAATGTGAGAAATTGAAGAATGTGCCCATTGCAACACAGGTATCTGTGTTGGGCTTATAAATTAAGCATGGAGGCAAAAGTGAGAACATTTTCCCAACCTCAAATCATACACAGTTCATTAAAATGAACTTTCATGAGATCAGGTGCATAAGTAGAATCATTAATTAGCTAATCAAAGTAATTTACGATAAGAAAGCACAGTGTAGCACCAGCCGGGGGGCTCAGCTGGTTGGAGCCTTGTCCTGTACACCGAGAAAGGTTGCAGGTTCGATCCCTGGTGGGGGCAAGTGCAGGAGGAGACCGACTGATGTTTCCCTCTCACATCAATGTTCGGCAAAGCAAAATGGGCCAATTACACAGCCAGGAACAGGAGGGTGTAAAGGCCAAGCGCCAGGAGGCTGAGGGCAGCCGTGTGTCCTCCTGTGTGTAGACTTGCTTGGAACGTTCCTTACGTCCCCAGGCTGTGACTGAGCAAGGACTAGGTTGTGGAGAAGCGCATGTGTTTCTGGGCAGACAGGCCTCCTGGGGATTTCTTGTTCTACAAAAGGGACATGCCATCACCCAGGAGCTTGCCTTTAGTGGGAATATCTTCTCTCCTTATTTAGCCACACAGGTTCTCTTGATCTGGCATCTTAAGAAACCTGTCTGAAGCTTAGTTTATAAAACATTAGACTAATGCCTCTGCTCCCCGATTCCCCGAGCAGAGGTACTTTCCCGTACCCTTTCCAGCCACCCTCCCTTGCAGGCTTTACCTTGTGGGAGGTTTCATTTTCTTTTTCACTCCGAGATAAAACCTCACTGAACTGAGAGGAAGCATTTTGTCGTGTTTGTTACTCTGTGAGGAAAACAAAACAGTATGTCATTCAACAGATTTTATAAATGCTCCGTTTATTTGCCTTGAGTGTCAACGATTGGGTTTAGAATTGTTCAGTTTCTCCAATGTTTTATGAATGTAATCACCAAGGTTTTAGTCAATGAAGATTGTTTTGATTACAATGTTACAAATTTAAATAGATGATTTTGGATATATATGTGTTTTTATATGTATATTTAAACACACCCACACAATAATACCTTATTCAAACACCTGGAACCAGATGTATATCAGAACTGATCATTTTTAATATTTTAAATATGCAATACAATCCAGTCAGTATGTTATATAACCACCACACTACCGGTGTTGTTTGGGGTTAGCACCCTATATTCAAATATATTCCTATTTCCATACTGAAATACTGTATTTCATATAAGATAAAGGCTATAAATACTGTTATAGACTGAATGTTTGTATCCCCCCACCCTCCAAATACATTGTTGAAATCTAATCCCCAATGTGATTAGAGGTGGGGCCTTTGGGAGGTAATTAGGTCATGAGAGTGACGCCCCATGAATGGTATCAGAGCTCTTATAAAAAGAGGCCAGAGAGCTAGCTCCCTCTTTCCAAGAAGGATACAAGAAGTTGGCAGTCTACAACCCGGACGAGGGGCCTCACTAGACCCTGACCAAGCTGGCACCCTGACCTCACCGCCAGCCTCCAGAACTGTAAGAAATGAAAGTCTGTTGTTTATAAGCCACCCAGTCCACGTATAGTACTTTCTTATAGCAGCCTGAACTGACAAAATCTTCATGTTAATTTGGGTCAAGTTTTACTACCAAATGAGTTACAGTTTTCCATACTTTTTGGATTTCACAATGATAGAAAACATAGTATAAACCTATGTGGGCACATACTGAACTATTTCAAATATATTAATGAAAATGTTCATTAATAAATTCATGAAAATAGACTATAAAAGTAAATTATATACATTTGCTTTACATCAATTTTACGTTCTTATTACATATTATGGCATATTTATTTGTGATTAAGATTTTTAAAATGTTAATCCTTGAACACAGACCATCAAGAAAGTTGTCTGACAAGCAAAACTTGAATCATTATATTTTAATTTAAAAACTTAATATCTGCCTGGCCCATGTGGCTCAGTGGTTAAGCACCAACCCATGAACCAAGAGGTCACTGGTAGGATTCCTGGTCAGGGTTGTGGGCTTGATCCCCAGAGGGGGGAGGCATGCGGGAGGCAGCAGATCTATGGTCCTCTCTCATCAGTGTTTCTCTCTATGCCCCTCCCTTACTCTCTCTCTAAAAAAATCAATAAAAACATTTAAAAGAACCCTTAATATCAAATCATACACATTACATTACTTATCCTTGGATACTCTGCAATAGATTTTATAAAGATAATAGCCATGAAAGTAATTATTAACACAAGCAGTCCCTACGTCCTAAAATTCTCAAGAAAATCTTTTGTTTCAAACTGGTAGGCAGACAGCATTTGTAAGAAGCTGAGGGTCACAGAGAAGTAGGTGCATGTCTGTCTTGCTACTTACTAGTTTGTGACCTCATGTTACTTCTCTCGACCCTTATTTCCTGTTTGTAAACAGGTATAATAGAAATGTTGACTATCTCATAGGGTTACGATGGTGATTGAATGAGAAAGAGTTACTGTGAAGGGTTATTATGCAGATTAAATGAGAAAATGCTATAAAGGGTTTAGTCTAGTAACTGGCATATAGAAAGCACGCAGGAAATTATAGCTATTATACATTTAGAGCACATTGCTGCGTAGAAATAGCAATATAGGCAGTTATTAGGATCCTAAGACAATGCACAAAAGCCCACTGCCAAATATACAGCTCAAATCAGTACTAAGTTCTATAAAACTTAAACTCTTACTTTGAAATCTGTTCTTTATAAGAGTAGCCACGTTTGAAAAGGGTGGAAAATATGTTTATAAAATAAAAACTTGGTTCCCATGGAGAACATAGGTTAGGAGAATATAGTGGAAACAGAGGAAAAGTAAGCAGGAAGCAGCTCAGGAATTATGCTCTAGTGACCAATGGCCTCTGTGACAGCGATGGTAAGGCGTGGAATTTACATGGTGGATTGGCTCCTAGTCACTATGATTAATGTTTACTATTATTATCATTGTCATTTAAAAAAAATTATGGATTTTTTTCCTTTATTACTAGATTTCTAGAAAAGGAAGCATCAGTTCCTTAGTGCGACTAAAACCTTCAAGTTAATGTTTAAATATCCTAAGCAGATCCAACTTCAAAAGTGACTCTTAAGCAACGTATACAGAAGGACATGGGTGAAGGAACTCAGTCTAATAAAGACCAAGGGGGGTGACCCGTTGAAGAAAACCAAATAAAATCCAACCTAGGTGATTTAATAACCAGCTGTGAAGCCTAACATTTACTTCCACAAATATAAACCTAAGTTCATGAACCTCAAAGTCTGCTATGTTCAGTTCACGTAACCCCAAATTCTTTGTGCCTTACTTCGGAAAACTCCACTCTCCCTCTGCTGAGAAAACTGAAGAAGAATAAATATCTAGGTCCCTGCACAGATGCCCTGCTGGGTCTGTCAGGTGGAAAAACAAAGGGAGCTCCAGCAGGGCAGGTAACAGACCTCTGAACAGAGGGACAGGGGCTGCAGACTTCAGCGCCGCCTTACTAGCCTCCTGCCTGGACAGTCTACTGTCCTTGAAGACGTGAATCTGAGACGTATACGCAAAGCAGGAACGCTACTGAGATTTATTTGTGGCCATGCACGGAGGCTTCCCTGGAAAAATATACAGGGAAGGTAGTCAAAGGGTGCGGAGAGCTCAAGAGATGCTACCACAAAACGGGGACACAGAGCTCTGGGAACTGCCTTACAGCTCTCTCTCCATAACCATAACATCATAACAGATGGTTCTAGTCTGGTCTTTCTCTGCACATCACAACAGGACACTGATGTGCCACACACCTAAAGTACGCGAGCAATGTTTAACTCAAGTGAGTTTTATAATTCAACAAAATAAAGTGTCTCTAGGTCCTGCTGTCATTCAGCATTTAAAATAATTGCCTGGGTATTGCCTGAATCCCGAGGGAACAGAGATGATCCCGCACATACCCATGTGACCACCACCCAAAACTGGATAGAGAACCTTCGCTTGTATCATGCTAGGAAGCGCCTCCTCACAATTCCCAGCAAACTCTCTACTCCCCAGGCAAGCACTTTCCAATTTCTTTCACCATGAATGGTCTTGACTTCCTACGGACAGGCTCAGATGGTATGATTTTGTGTCGAGCTTCTTTTACTCAACGAGGATTTGAAGATGCATCCATGCTGCTGCATGCATTAGAATTCACTGATTTTACTGCTGAGTAGGATTCCATTGTATGAATTTATCATTTTTATATGGATGGTCACTTCAAATGTTTCCAGGTAGCTTTTACAAATAAAGCTGCTCATGGACATTCCTGAACAAGCACTTTTGTGGCCATACTAGCTAGGCACAGAGTTACTGGGTCATGGGGTAGGGATACTAACAACCTTATCTAAACACTGCCCAGTACGTCTACAGTGATTCTGTGACTTTCCCTTCCATCAGCAATTTATGAGAGTTTTAGTTAATCAACACCCTTGTCCATATTAGGTGTTCTCACTCTTAGAATTTTAGTTATTTTAGTTGATTTCAATCAACGTAAAGAGTAAAACAGTATCTCAGAATTTTAATTTGCATTTATTAATTTCCATTAGCTAAATTCAAACCACTTTTGTCTTAGGGAATGACACATACTCTCAGTCAACTTTACTGAGATGTTGATTTATATGCTAGTTTATGTAACATGTATTAGACTTTTCTTTAGGACTTAAGTCATTCTCTGCCCTAAAAAATGTGAGGCGTTCATAAAGGCCATATATGGAGTCCTTTACTGTGTGACTGAGTGCATGACTGTCATATCCCAGAGGCTGGAAGACATCCTCAGCTTACTATGCATTTTATTATTTTATTTTATTTTATTTTATATTTTATTTTATATTTTATTTTATTTTATTATTTTATTTTATTATTTTATTTTATTTTATTATTTTATTTTATTTTATTTACTACAGGCCTTGACTTCCAAGAGAGAGGTCTGAGAAAGGTATAAAATAAGAATATTAATACCTAATCAAAATGCGTACATATTCAAATACTACATATACAAATACCTTCAGATCCTTGTAAATAATGAGGTAGCCATCTCGTAAAACACAATACCGATCCTGAAATTTATTTCCAGACAGTATTTTAGATGGTTCTTCTTTGATTTTCAAGTTTCCCTCTTTGACACTTTCCGGGGCCCTTCTCTCTGTAAAGAACATTGCTTTTGTAAGTTAGGTACATTTCCATTTGTTTGGAACAGAATACAAAACATTTCTATATTTTCAGTTTTGATATTATAAAGTAATAACTAATAACTTGTTTTCTACCATTAAGAAACCTACAGTTAATTTCTGGGAATACCATATGTCAGGCATGTTGGACAAGTCCCAAATCCACAGACTGGATCTATTTATATCTATTTATAACATCTAGGCCTGACTATGCTGTCCCGTTAGCGCTCAAAGCATAGTTAGTCTCAACTGAGATGTGCTGTAAGTATAAAATATACATCAGATTTTGAGGACAGTATGAAAAAGTAAAAAATCTCACAATTCTGCAATATTGATTACATGTTAAAATGATAATGTTTTGGATATGTGAGTTTAAATAAAATATATTAGTAAAATCAATTTCACCATGCATATATATATTAATGTAGATATTAGGCAACTTAAAATTACATCATCAGCTTGCACATTTCTTTTAAATGGCACTCATATAAACAATGCAAATATACAGGTAAAGAGGGAACCTCTACCAGAATACACAGGAATCCAGGAATTTCTATGACATTTGAGAAGCTCCCATCAATACGAAACAGCTAAGGGTAATTAGGCAAAACAGCTAAGGTACAGGATCTAACATCAGTTATATTTCATGTGCAATACTGTGACTGTCCCACACTTAGGAATCGTTTCAACTAATCTTATTAAGAAAACACTTTTTGCCCGGCCGGGCGTGGCTCAGTGGTTGAGCGTCGACCTAGGATCCAGGCGATTGGGGTTCGATTCCCGGTCAGGGCACATGCCCGGGTTGCAGGCTCAATCAATGACTCTCTCATCATTGATGTTTCTATCTCTCTATCCCTCTCCTTTTGTCTCTATGAAATCAATAAAGATATATTTAAAAAAAAAACAAAAAAACAAAACACTTTTTGGTAAGAACACCAAATTGATATTTGCATAAACGTATCCCTATAACTCCAGTCTGAACCTTCTCCAGTAGGAATCCAGACAATGGTCAGCTGCCCGCCTGAGAACTGAAGTACAGTGGAAGGAAAGAGCACTGAAGCCAAGCAGCCATGACGCTGTCATCATGTGTCAACTCCTGCAGGCGACTGTGGCCCTCATGTTAGGTGATATCCACAGAAGATGCAGAGTGGGGTACTATCAGGTCTTGGACCGTTAGCAATTTCTTGACATTAAGTTTATACAATTTTAAAATCTTCATGCATAGTTTCTGAAATTTATAAAATAACTTGAATAACTTTAGAAGGAAGAACTTAGTTAGTCTTAAACCAAATAATCCCTTCGTTTTGGGGAAAACCCTACTTATACAGAAAATAACACACAGATGTTCACAATTGTAACTAGCATAAGAAAAAACTTTTTAAAAAAATAGAAATAGTTCCTTGAAACACAAATATGAGCATGCAATGACTACCTGGAAGCAAAAATCCCCAGGATTAATCACATCACTGATCCTAACCACAACAAACAAAGGTAAATGATGAATCCAAACAGTTTTCATGATACACACTGGCCACAGACAACATTCCTTCAATCATACTATCGCACTGAAATACGTTATTTTTAGGTAGTTTGTGACTTTCAAATAATTTCTGAATAACATACTGCTAAAATGGTCTTCTGGTAAAATTTATTAATATTCAGTTCCATAGAAAAATATTTTAAATGATATTTTACAGCCAAATAACTTCTATTTAAATTAAACATAACACTTTTCCAATTAAAATACTAGAAGACATGTTTTAATACAACTGGAAGAGCAAGAAAAAAATAAACATTATCTAAAACTAGTATACATTCTAGACTTTTCAAAATGTTCATGTATTTTATCTCATATGATTTCCAGGCAACTTTCTGAAATAGGGAACATAGGTGATACAATCTCATTTTATAAATGAGAAAATTGTGGCTAAAAAGGTTATGCGACAAGGTTAGAAGGCAACTAGAATCACAGTTCAGGTCTCTTCACAGCTAACGCAGAATCCTGTCCTTTATACTGAGACGCGTCTAAGTAATGGTCACAATTACCGTGATCACCACCATTACCACAATAATAAACGTCCTGGTGCCTTTCTTGACCTCATGCACCATTTTACACCATTAAGCACTCCTTTTCCTAAAATTTACTCCTTTGATGATTTCCATGCTCTCTGTTTTCTTGGAAACTTTCTGATTGTTCCTTCACACACCAGGCCTCTCTTAATACATCCATCCCTTAAATACAAATGACGGTAACACTATGCTCAGCTCGCTAATGCTTACTTTAACAAGTAAGCTGCATGACCTTGTATTCTCCCAGGGCTAAAACCATGCCCCACGCCATGCACTCCACAGCTTCCTCAGTTCCCTTCCAGACACCTCCCTGGACACACTTCACAGACAGCTAAAACCCAACACATCTAAAACAGGATTCAGTCACCCTACCCTTATGTCACCCCAAATAGTAATCTCTTCTATGTTCCCTTCCTTAATGGATCAGGAAGCACCCAAAGCAAGCAACTGGGACCTATGCAGACACAGGGGTCTCTGTATGAACACAATGCTGATTTCCTTTAGAAAGCATTCCCTAACTACCCAGATAAGAGTGAGTTTGCAGTCCTATGAAATTTGGTCAGTAACTTGCTCAATTACAAAGTGTTTTATTCACTTAGATTTTTAAAAAGTTTACTTAACAGGTACTTTTAGTGGGTAAAACAATAAGATAGAGTTTCATAATGGAAGACCAACATATAAGAAAAATTAAACAGGAAATGGTATTTCCTTGACTGAGAGACATTCAAGTGTTGGAAAAGACGTCAGTGATCATGGAGTTGAACCACTTTTCTGTGCTTGAAAGCTCTCCACAGACAAACACCCTGGCCCACAGAAGTCATTCATAGCATGTCATGTTTGTATTTCTATTTCTATTTAAATAGTCTTCGTATGTTTAGATTTTCTGTTCCTCATGGGAAAGGATAATCCTTTATATTTTCCACAGATTCCTGCAGAGAGTTAACAGAAACTTACGGATTGGTTTTCTCAGTACCCAATTGTAACATTAGAAGTCAGGACATTCGTACTCTATCTACAGTGACTATCAAAGACTATCATTGAGTCCCAAGAAAATACTTCCACTTGGAGTGGACTAGGTCTTACCTTCAACTTTCAAACAACTTTGGATGTAAAAAGATTTGATGGAAGTGGAATGTAAATTATTTTAGCTAGACTATGATTTATAGACTCCTACTATTTCTGCTGACATTTTCCTTTCTTTTCTTAAGTCAGTTGAGAGTGGATGGCTCAGCTTCCCAGGTCTGAGCTGCCGGAAGCAGTTGCATTTTCAACCATTGGATTCTAATGCAAATTTAATTCCAAAGCATCTGCCCTATGCAGTGATCTGAATTTAGAAACCCACAGGGATCTGCATCTGAGTTACATCTTATAGCTTAAAAGTATTTTTTCCCCATTGAAATCATTAAAACTCGACTCCCATGTATCACATTCTATTGGGGTAAATTTTAAAGAACTTTAGCACTTAAAATAAGACTTTAGCAACATAAAATTGTTTATTCTGGAACCTTACAGAAGCTATAAATGTATGCCTTACTTGTGATAGAGATGTTGAAACAACTCCATATAAGAGATAATGATAAAAGATGATCTAGTAAGATTAGCTGTGACAAAGTCTAAATAGCAGTTTTAATGACTTGCTATTCTCAATGTCTCAGTCCTAATCTATGGGATAGAAAAGGAATTTGAGGACGATTATCTTTCTCTTCAAGTTAAGTTAACTCCTTATTACAATGATGACAATGGTGCAAACTGTTTCTAAGAAATCAAACGCCGCTTCTGAAAAGCACAGAATTGATTTTTAAGTAGAGGCAACAGAAAATTCATTTACTCTAGTATACTTCTATAAAAGTAAAGTATGCTACCTCATTACCTTAAATGAATGAGCAGAAATTAAGTGTTGGCTGACTCTAAATCTATTCTTACTGTTACGTCTACATTTTAAACTGTTCAGATAAAGTGAGAAAACTGAGATAATTAAAATCCCTAAACTCCCAAATTTATTATTTGATAAAAATTCTTCATTTAAGCAAGGCGATGAAAACAAAATGTTATGTGCTTAGAATTTATTAAATAAGAAAACTATCATACAATTAATGAAATGCAACTCATATATATGTGTGTGTATATAAATATATATATATATATAGAGAGAGAGAGAGGTGTAGATATAGAGGTGGNGTTATGTGCTTAGAATTTATTAAATAAGAAAACTATCATACAATTAATGAAATGCAACTCATATATATGTGTGTGTATATAAATATATATATATAGAGAGAGAGAGGTGTAGATATAGAGGTGGAATAGACTTAGGTGGACAGAAAGTAAAATCTGTGGCAGCTAGGTGTCAAGTTTGAGGGGACAGAGTCCAAAGGATGTGGTATTGCTACTTTATGTTTCAAAAAAATGTTAACACATTAGTTATTTGCTGAGAGAAAATGTGGTTGCAACCAATCACCCTGGTTTCAAACTCAGCTGATTTCCACCTGGCCCCCAGGTTAGAAAAATAAAATCGTTTTGAAAGAAATCTGTAACATTGTTCTGTTTCTGCTGTGATGAGCAATGTATTTCTGAGATGACTCCAATTTTTCTAACAAATTGACAGAGGCATCACATTTCATTTACTTTCACTATTTTCCTTTTAGATTCCAAATTTAAGGAGTAGTGGATGGACTGAATGGAGCAATAATTCTGGAGTTGGTGGTCATTGTGATTGATTTAGGAGACATTTACCAAGACAGAGACAAAGTAGACTGAATATCTAACCGCCTAAAATCTATCACAAAGTATATCCCATATAAAGTACTTCTAAGTGCCAGGTTGCTGCAAGACACAACTATAGGGAGAAAAACATCAAAATTTAAGAAATTGATTAAAAAAACAAACCAAAAAACCCACAGGCCAGAGCTGATTTAAAAGAGTAATCCTAAATTCACACAGATGCAGAAAGACCATAATTAAAGAGATTGATTTGCTTGGGCAATCTAAATATAAATCAAGTTCTAATTAAAAACATTTATAAAAATTGTATTGGCTTGAAAACTAAAAAACTTATTTTAAATATTTAGTTCATAGGTACTCCTATTTTTGACCCAAAATACGTAACTACTAATATGAAACGGTCCAATTAATGTATTTGCTGCTGGTGTTCCTCTAAAACCTGCCTTTTTTCATGCAATGAGACAACTCCCTGGTAGAAAGAACTATAGATGCTGCAACAAGCTGCATATGGGCCTGGCAAGCTGAGGTGGGAACAGTGCAAGGACAGGGACGCGTTTCAGCTCCACTCTGTCAGAGGAATGAAGGGGACGTGAGAGGAACACAAAAGTTAGTGACATTTTACTCTAGAGGATGTTTCATCCAAATCCTGAAACTATCACCTCAGCCTGCCTTCCACTGCTTGGGTTCCCCAGTTTTCACGCGAGGTGCTTGCCTGGACCTTACAGAGGTTCGAAGCTTTCACAACAGAGGGACACACGAATAACCCCAAAAAGACGACGCAGGGGTATGTGAGGCATCTTTATAATGCCCAAGCTTCCTACCCAGTCTGTGGGTGCGCCAATGTCCAGTCGGTCACTCTACCATTTCCTCTGGTCTTTAATCAGCATAAAGGTGCTACTCATGTGTGGACTCAATCTTTACCCCCCACCAAAGGTCAACAGAACTCCATGGTGCCCTTGTTCGGACTGTACTTCACCCACCTGCACAAAACCTTCCTCGATATCACAGCCTTTTAACATCTTACGTTTACCTGCATTCACACAGCCAGCCTGCTACCGTTCAAACAAGGGCTAAGGTATTATGTCTAGGTGTGGGGTTCAAGTATTTTGTACCATGAAGAATCAGACGTTTGGAGGATTATTAGGAAAAGGAAAATTCTCACCAGAAAAATATACATTTATCTGAAAAGTTGACTTATTTTCTAAAAGAAAAGAAACCATGAGAACCTATTTTATGTATTTCTTAATGCTGACAGGACTTGGTTCCTAAGCTCAATACTTTTTTCTTTATCTCAATAAAATAAAATAATACAGAATTTAAGAACTAGGACAGATTTCATAGATTATCTAAATCAGAAATTCTCAGCATGGGACCACGGACATTTTGGGCCGGGTAATCCTTAGCTGTAAAGAGCTGTGCTGTATATTGTGGGGTGTTTCATGGCCTATCTTCTGTCTGCCCACCAAAGACCAGAAACAGCACCCCACCCAGCTGTGACAGAACTGTCTCCAAATGTCCCCTGGGGGATGAAACTGCCCTGTACCTGGGAACCACTGCGCTTTGACATGGATGCATGTTGAATTCACCCGAATAGAGGTACACAGACGATGTGGTCAAAATCGTAGGTCGGACAACCAAAGAAAGAAAGATGAAGGTCTCTAAAAGGCTAAACTTCCACAGCAAAGAGAATAGTATGTTCCGTTTATTTAGGTACTAAAAAGTCCAGAATGACGTAGACGTTGTTACACTGCTCGCATGTTGTATAAAAACTTTCAGGTGAAGATGTAAACAACAGTCCTGGCCAGTCTGCTCAGTGATTAGAGAGTCAGCCCGCAGACTGAAGGGTCCTGGGTTCGATTCCGGCCAAGGGCACGTATCCCGGTTGTGGGTTCAATCCCTGGCCCCGGAGCATGTGCGGGAGGCAACCAAAAGGTGTGTCTCTCCCACATCGATGTTTCTCTCTCTCTACCCTTTCTCTCTCTCTGAAAAGCAATGGAAAAAATATCCTCAGGTAAGGATTAAAAAAATAAATAGAAAGATGTAAAGAACCGTGCTAAGGACTGAATGTGTTCCCCAAGACCTCCCGATGTGATGGCATTGACGTGGGAACCCTCCTGAATGGGATTAGCGCTTTGATAGGAGTCACAGGGAGCAGTTTCCTATCTCTGCTCTGGGCCAGGTGATGACCTAACTAGAAGTCTGCAGCCTGGAAGGGGCTCTCACCAGGACCCAACCATGCTGGCTGGCACCCTGATCTCACACTTCCAGTCTCCAGACTGCGAGAAATAAACTCCTGTTGTTTCTAAAGCCGCCTAGTCCGTCGTAGTTACAGAGGCTCGGACAGAGCCATGAAACCAGAAATGCATCAGGTTAGCTGTGGTACGATTCAGAACGGACTTGACCTATGGACATTAGCTAGAGAGCCTGCGGTCACACTAAGTAACAGGTTTACAGCATTTAAGAGCTGTATCAACATCCCCACATTTTTTTTTTTTAATAATTAGAAGACAAATCTGTTCTCAAACCCAGTATTTATTCACTATAATCTGGGTAGAAGAAGTTACTTCATTTCTCTGAGCTTCTCTTTACAAGTTTGTAAAATTTAAATGACAATATAACTCACAAGGACATTTTAAAAAGTTTAAATGAAATTTGTTGTGTACAGAGCTCAGTAATACATTATTAGATTGTTATGTAATGATTAATATATTAACAGAGCTCAGTTAATATACCATTAATAAATAATAATGGTTATCATTACTATTAATTATTAAAGTTGTGGTAAGCTTCACCTTATAAAACCCGAGCCCTTTGCTTTTGATGGTGTTTTATATACAGAGCTGGCAGAAACTAGTTTTCTGTTATGTCAATCAATGGCAACGCAACAGAGGAATCATAGTTTCAAAAATAAAAGTTTTCTGGTATCTCCTACAGGTTCAGAGACTGGCCTACACGGCCCCCTGTGCTGGCTGCCTTCTTATTTAACCTGACATGTGTACATGTCTTCTCCCAGCTGGGTGGCAAGCATCCTTACTGGAAATGTTTTATTTTACACTTGTTTGTTTTCCAACATCAGCAATAATGAGAATTACAACAAGCACTAATCTCAGAGGCTGCGTAACTTGTACTTCTTGAATACTTAGAGAACTTCCATAGTGCAGGAAGAAGGTTCACCAGCTATCTAAACCTCAGGAAAACATTTAAGCATGGCCGAAAGCCCTCAGGGAAACAGACCATTAAACTTGGTACCAGCAGAGTACCAACCACTGCCACAGCGCCATCACCAGGAAACTGGAGCGGGGCTCTCCTGTGTGCACAGGAATCCGCCTCCCTCGGGACTGCGCTCCCTCAGGAGCTTCTGCGTGAGCTCTCCTTCTTTGTTCCCCATTTTCAAACGCCCTGTGCGGCAGCGGCCGTCCCTCCACCCCGATTCTCGGGCAGCCGCAGAAGGGCACCCACCTGTGCAGCGCCGGACCGCGTCCACGGTCAGGAACCTCTTCACCACGAGGTAAGCGGAGCCGGGCTCGGCGAGCGCGCTCCAGCGCAGCACCTGCTCCAGCACGTTCTCCGTGTAGTGCAGCGGGCGCTCTGCGAAGGTAAAGGCACGGCAAGGAAAACCAGAGTAAATACCATTGTTATGCTTTTTAAGAAATCCTTTAAAAAAGATCTGCATTCAACAACAAACATAACCGTATCTTCCGTTACACAAAACAGCATTAAGACTACGTAAAAAGAGACCTTAACACCTAGAACGCCAGTAAGTGTACAATAAAAGTTACCGTGTGACTGAATCTGTGAAGAACATTTGCGTTTTGCTCAACTATTTAAAAAACATTCACAGGTGCTATCCTTTAGATAAAAGTCTCAGAAACAATGCTAACCTTCTGTACAACAAATCAACCTCTTACACTAGCTTCTTTTGAATTTAGAAACATTCTGGTTTGCTTATGGAAATCTGTCATTTTCATATGCAATTAAATAACTGTAAAAGGAAGAGCAAAATTACTCTTGTCCAGTAGCAAGTAATAACATAAATTTATCCTAAAGATTAGCATATTATAATTTCTGAGCTGTAGCAGTGAACAACTTAGAGCTTTATTTTACACACACACACCCTAGAATATTACTCAGCCATGAAAAAAGAATAAAATCTCGCCATTTATGACAACACGGATGAACCTAGAGGGTATTATGCTAAGTGAAATGTCAGAAAGGGTAAGACAAATGCTGTATGATTTAAACTTGTGTGCGGCATCTAAAAAACAGAACAAATGAACAAACGAAACAGAAACAAACTCACAAATACAGAGAACAAACCGATGGTTCCCAGAGGGGAGGGTGATGTGGGAAGGGCAAACACCGTGAAGGGGGTTGAGAGTTTCAAACTTCTAGTTATAAAATAAGTCATGGGGATATAACGTACAGCATAGGGAAGACACTGAATATCATCATTTAAAAAACACAGATTCCAGAATGAGCAATCCCTTTATATTTCATGGTATATAATTCTACTATAATTCTTCTTTCTACTGCTTGCAAACTCCGGGAAACTACTGATCCCATGAACAGCTGCCATTTCAGGAATAACAACTACGCGTCAGACATTCTGGATACTTCGCTTCAGTTCTCACAACACTCATCCTTCAATATTACCCTTATTCATACTTTACATGTCAGGGAACCCAAAGATCAGGGACATTTAGCCACATGCCCAACGTGAAACAGCCGGTTCGAGTGAGCAGCAGAGATCCGAACCTCCCATTCATCTGACTTTACAGCCCCAAATCTTAACTATTACGCTTGGTTTCACTTTGGCAAGTATGCAAACCCACACACGATGATTTTTCTCACATGTAGTTTGGAAGAAAAAGTATAAACTCAAAAAAAAAAGTGTTGAGGGCTGTCCCAGGTGACATAAGCAAAGGGAAAAACACTGTCAGTCCACACTTCCCCCGGCTCCCTCCCACTTCCCCATTCTTAGTGAGACGGGCGGGAAATGCCAGCAGGGTACCCCAACCCCCGCCCTTAAGGGAGCCGATGGTACTGCAGTTGGCTTGGGGATACAAACGATATTCTTAACGGGAAAGCGGTATCTGGATTAAAAGAAAAGCTTCCTCCTCTTTATTACAAGACTACGTTGGAAATGAGACGTCCCCATATCCGACCGTTCGCATTATAAGAGGGCACTGTTACGAGTCGGCACTATAGTGACGGCTCTCAAGTGTTGTTAGTTAAACTGAATCATATCACAGCAGATACAGAGGCAAGTACAGACATGCAAAAAAATTAGGTGAGTTTTTCACATCAGTCTCATAGGACAAAATACTTTAGGAGAATGAAAAATCCTGAAAAGTCATGTTCCTGCATAAAAGTAGAGTTGAAAAATGGGATGAAAAGAAAAATGTTTATTATACTGTCAAATGCTATAATTATAAATAGCACTGAAGTCCACCTTAAGAAGGAGATAAGAGGCAGAAGAAATTGAGTCATCAAACACTGTACGAATATCAATTTCTACAAAGAATTTTTTACTTATAGTTACATTTACAACCACCTGTCATGACAGATTATATGGTACCTAAGTCTGGCATTAGGACATCAGAAATAAATAACTCATTTGAGTGCTATCCATAGCATCAAAATTGAAAATTCAGTGAAGTCGTTTGAGAAGAACAGCTTATGGAGGTGGTTGTTTAGCTAGGTAATCACATTATTAATTGTTTAAAATCATGTTCACAGAAATAAACCTGGCCTTTCTTGTTAAAAAGAGAACCATCCGTTTCTCACTTGACATTATAGGTACTGTCGTTAAATTTCTGGCAGTAATGACACAGGATTTCCTGAAACAACTATGACTTCCCCAGTAATTAAATTCTTAGTGCCAAATTTGGAGCTGTGCACGGCTCTCTGTCCTGTCCGTGTAATTAGAGGGTGACAGCGCTCTGTGTGTCAATCCAGAGGAGGGCTGGAAAGGAGCCTAATGAAAACTGAACAGCTCTTCTATGTCACAGTAGCTATGGGGAAGCATCAAGGCAACATTTCATGATATTGCTGCACTGAAAGCGTTTCACAAACCTGAACTGCTCATGCAGACGCCCACTTAAATGAGGCCCCTCCGGCAGTTACTGTTTTTCAGCAAGTCGAGGACCTACAGGATATGGGGCTACATCAGCAGAGCACAGGTTCCGTCTTAAGGTGAAGCATTAAAATAACAGCGCCCTTTAGAAGATCAGCTCTTGAGGAAGGTAACAGCCCCTCCCAGGGTGGGTTTCAGCTGGTCCTAATGATTGGCAGCGGTGGGTCAAAGGCGCTGGGCATCTTTCCAAGGATGAGAGGAAGACAGACTTTTTCTCTGTCAGGTACAAATTTCAAATGTCCCACCAGACATTCATTGAGAGGGTAAATCTACTTATAAAGTAACTGAGCCTACAATCTAACTCAGCTTTACACATATAAACCCTCAAACTATTTTATAGGGTTTTAATTTTAATATGAGGTATTTTTTCCCATGAATCTGACCACCACATAAGGAAAAAAGAAGGGAAGAAAGAAAAAATCAGGCTTTGTTGGGACTTTGTGGAAAATGCCTTTTCTAGCTGCTGAATGCCGGTGCCCCCGGGATTCGTAGGTTGAAACCGCATCCCCCATTTGGTGGTGCAAGGAGGCAGTACCTTTGGGAGACAAGTCCTCATGAATGGGATGAGTGCCCCATGAAGGAGACTCACGGAGCTCCCTGCCACCACCTGAGACATGACAAAAGACAGCCCTCCGAGGCCTGGGAAGCTGGTCTCTCACCAGACACCGAATCTGCCAGCATGCACCTTGATGGTGAACTTCCAGCTCCAGCAGAGCTGTGAGAAATAAATGTCTATTGTTTCTAAGCCACCCAGTGTATTTGAAATTCTGTGGAAGCAGCCTGAGGGGACTAGGACACCGTTTCACCAGCGATATCAATGCTTCTGATGACGTGTGATTCACGAACTGACTTGCTGCCGTCAGCCTGCACGGAGCTGTCCTGTCCAGGGCAATTCACACGGGTGTAAGACCCTGTTTTCCTAATCTTTGACCACATCGGGTATGTCAGTAGCTATATGTTTTATTACACATTTTCCGTTCTCATTTTATATTACAATTAGGGTACTATATTATTATTTTTTAAATGAGTATAACAGATTATCTCCAGAAAGTAAAGGGAGTGTTACAAAATATTTACTATGCAAAGGAGACACTGGAAATGACAGGGCAGAGACTGTTGCTTTAAAATGTACAGACACCTAACTAAAATAAAATCCAGCACTTCTGGTTCACTTATTGATCCACTTATTTATTTATTTTCGGTTGCTTGCTTCCTTGGAGGACTTATATTTACAGGAGAAAAAGCACCGGTTCCCTGCTGACACTCCTCCTATCAGCTACAATCTCGAGACTGCCAACGCCTTCACTTTCATCTTCTCTTTCTAGTCCGCTGTAGCCCCCCCGCATGTTTCTAGCAATAAAGCTTTTAACATTTCGGGAGGTCAGGTGGAGCCGGGGCTCCATCTGCTTCAGTAAGTCAGTGCAAGCACAGGCCCCTCTCTCGCGCTCCTCGCTTTGTTCCTCTAAAAGCTGCGAAAACCATCTTCGTTTTCTCCTCTGGTGCCTCCACCGGAGCCGCTGGCTGACCATTAAAATCATGCCAAATCTGAATTCTTACCTCCATCAAACGGATTCTTTCTGGAGGTGCGGCTTGGGGTGTTCCTTTGATTATGTATTTGGACATTCACAAATCAAAACAACTTGAGGTCTCCTAGTCTTTTGATAGCTCTGACAAGGTAACTTTCTGTTTTTTAATTAGAGACCAGTAATGAAAAGAACCACCACCCCCCCACCACAACCCAACCTTTCCATTTGGGATGGACTCGGTATCACAAGAGTCCACGTCAGTCATTTTCAGGGTAAGTATCCCTTCATTTTCCAGGATGAAACTGTAAAACAGTGTTTCTAAGTATATGACAATCGCTCTCCTAACTATATATAATTTCTCCCTACCCTCATGCACTCTGCCTGCGACCCATCCCCAGAGGCACAGAGCTCCAAGGCTGTGACACAGGGACATGCTTTGACTCAACCCTTGAGAGAACAAGGGCGGTAGGGAGAGGATGCCAACCCCCAAATCCACGACTCATTCTGCTGTGGATCTCTGGCAAAAACAACAACACAGAAACAGAAGCAGGCAGGACACAATCCACTGTCTCAGGCCTAACTAACCAGGGCCTTGAGACATCTCCTAGGGGTTGCTAACCTACAAGCAGAAATCATTTTTTATGTGCCTGCCACATTTCGATACATTTATCCAAGCAGCAGCAATCCAGGGCACTCAGGTTCAGAACACATCTATCCTACGTTCCACCTCAGTTAACAAGACATTTGCAGGATGTGCTCCATCCACGTCAACGCCCCGCGCTGGAGGCAGTGAGACACACCAAGGTCTGAAAGCTGTGGCGAATGTCCGAAAGCACATGCGGCCTGGGGCAGAGCCAGGTATTTACATTCTGCCATTCAGTCAGTCAGAGCAGTATAGGTCTATAAGCAAATAATCAGAAAAAGGTCAGTGTGAACTGCGTTTATCCAAGTATCGTGACGGAGGAAGAGGCGTTTGAGCTGGTCCTGTGTGACCGACAGGCAGTGAGTAAACAATGAAAGGGTTTTAAATGATGGCACAGTCTGATCCTATTTGTGATTTAGAAAGATAATTCTAGCAGTCATGCCAACAATCGCCTTCTACTCACAAATACGATGAAGCTGAAAACCTAGCCCCTTTCCTTAAAATTTGACAACAAAAATCAAAAGACTCTACCACCCCTGAACCACACAGTGAAGCAAAACTGTACTTCACTCGTGCGAGAGGCTTTGGTTGTGTGGCAACTACATTTCCAGGCACTGTGCCGGATGCCAGAGATAAAACAACAGAGTCCCGCCTTCCTCCCTAGGAGCTCCCACCGAGAGAGACGAATATAAATCCACGTGATGGGCTCTATAAAGAAAGATGGGACAAAGTACAATAAAACCTTCAGCCTGGGTATTAAAGGGGGTGCACGGGGGTGGGGGCAGACGGAGGAAGAGTAAAGGGGCATTTGGGGAACACCAGCTCACACACGTTAGTCAAGCACAAAGAATGGAACTTTTACCTCTAAAGAACCAGTCGTATGAGAAAAGATGGCAGAGAGACTGGGGCAGCAGAAACGTAAGCTCAGGGGACAGTGGAAGAACTGACAAATGAGAGAAAATAATCAGAGGGCCAAGAGGAGAATCCAGCCGGCACAAAAGAGCGAAGACCTCCAAAGAAACAGGGAATGGTGAGTAACGAATGCCACAGAAAGGACAAGTAAAGCAGAGCCTGAAGCAGAGCCGGTGGACTGGGCACCGGGGGCGGGGCGGTCACCGGAGCCATCGGCCAGAACACTTCCCGTGAGAGGCAAAGACGGAGCCTGACCAGGGAGGAGGCGCGAGTGGCCCGACGCCAGGGCAGCCGAGTCCCCGAGTCAGGACGATGGTGAACGCTGAGAAATAACATTTTAATACAAATACGATTTTTAAAGAGCTGTGCTGCGCATGATAAAAAAAAACGAAGACACAAAAACATCGAGACTGGACTAACGAAAGATAAAGTATTTGAAAATCCCATCTCACGCTAACACGATTACAACATTCCCCGTAATACCCGATGGGGTATTTCAACGTCAAATTTTCATTTTTATCGTAAGCTTGCAGGTGGCAAGATTTTACTTTTGGCAGTTTGACTGCTATGCTTGAAAGGGTCCCAAGGCCTTAGTAGGTATCAGCTAGACAGATGGTCAAAGCACAAAGACATCCTGCATCTTATTTCTGTTTTTCCTGGAGGTCTTTAAAACCACATGGTGTCATTAGCATGTTAGGCTTACTCAGCACTTTCCTGGGGCAGAGGAGGTGTTTCACAAGCTCTCACTACCCTTCCACATCTCAGGTGAGACAGGACAAAACATCCACCCACTCCCCTGAAGATACAGGAAAGGAGACAACGAAACAGGCTTCTGATATGCTTAAAATTAATTTTTTAACAATAAGTAGTCTTTTTGAAAAAATAATAATCTTTTAAATCAACATTCTTTTTGCTAAATAAGTAGCATACAGGAATAATGTGTATCTGGTGGTGGTAACATTTAGAGTATTGTTACAAATCAAGCTGTTTGGCCTTATAAACAAAGGCCTTATTTCCTAAGGCAACAACACAGATGCCTAATGCTTTGCACTCTATTTTTATAGTCAATAAAATGATCTAATTATTTTGATGAGTAAAATCACGGGAGGGAGACCTCAAGTGACAATAGCATATATGGGCACATACACTGAAGGGGATTCATAATGTTAATCTTCAGAATAACATAAAATGTTAGCAACGCTATCACAGAAATAGTATTTCTTCGCACTGTAAGGAATTTAAGAATCCCTGGCATGAAAATTGCTTACCTAGCTCTTCATTTTCAATGACTTCAAATGTGGCCCAGATATCGCCTGGTGTAGGAATAATATTTTTTATTGCTAATATATCATTAGTTAATTCTTCTGCTTCCATCACAGGAGATATCTGTAAAAAAGGCAAAATTTCTTTAGAAACTATGTCAGACCCAGACATAGCTTTATGCTGGAGCAACAATACCCACCACCCATCACCTTACGATACCCCAAGTTTCTCCTTAGTGTGTTTAGCTGCTCTAAGCACACAGAGAAAATAGCCTATTCGGGTCTTCTACATAAAATACATTTTAATGTGAGTGCAAAAGTTATTACGACACAGACATAATCAGGAATAATTTTTTTTCTCACTTAGTGAGCAATTAAGTTACTCAGAAGGGAAGAACATACCTAGTCTACACATACGCACAGACCATCACAAGACCACAAGTCCAATGATCTTCCAGGAGTAAAACTTTTCACTCGTCGGTTCTATAATCAAGAGTTCAAAGTGGCCTGGTTTATTCGGCCTGATGCCTAAATTAGACGCAGGCGACTGCTGTCTGCCAAACCAAAGAGCCCCAGGGTTGTACTGGTCTGTGGTGTGTGTACCCAGCGTGCCAAGTGACAGATGGTGGGATACCGAGGTACGGAGCCAGGATTTCAGGGCACCAGGCAGGGTCTGCAGTGCCAGCCTGGGGCCAGCTATAGGAGTACCAAGGCCTCAGGCCACTGCATGAGCACAGCACCTTCTTCAGGGACTGCGGGGATTTCTGACCTGATTCTTCTTGTTTTTGTTTTTGCCAACCCGAAATGCATGCTGGTCAAAAGCAAGCTGGCTCTTCAATTAGAGTTTAGTTATAATGTTAAACAAATAAAAAATGCTGTACGCGTTCTATAGAATATTCTAACTGCACATTTTCAGTAAAATATGTACCTATTTTAAAAATTTCTTAGCAAAGAAATGTGCTCATTTCCATTTGCCCAGTCCATTACTGATTATAAGCATATTGCACATATATAAATAATATATTTTTCATTACAGGTAACTCATATGGTCTATCTTTTGGACTTCGTGGAATCTAGTACTTTCTTTGGGATACATTAATTATACGTCCACTGTTTTCCATTTAGAAAAGCCCAATAAAGTATAAACTTAAAAGAAAACCAGCATCTGGGAAAAGTAAAGAACATTTAGCAGTAAAGACATTAGTAGATGAATCATTTCAATGATGCTATTCATCCGAATGCCTTTAATTTTTTTCAGTACAGCCTTTTCTTAAAATAATAAGTTACTAAGAAACCAAACTTGTGAAATGGTCAGCAAAACGTGTGCCTCCACTCTACTCCCTCCACTCCACTCGTCTCGGTAAAAACCCAGGGCCCCTCTTCAGAACACCTAGAACTCCACAAAGGACATGGGAAGTCATTATCCTAAAGAACGCATAAGTCAGTGGAATGAACATCGGGTTTAGAATATGATGATGCGGGTTTTCGTCCTGGCCTTATTAATTCTGTTTAATCCTGTTTCTGTTCTTATAAACTTGGGACATGATCTGCCTTACCTGCCTCCTTGAGTGGAGGTAATAATCAGCTGAGATAGATGTAACAAAAGATTTTTGCAAAGTCTTAAGCATTAAGTAAATGTTAATGATTATTTTTATATAGTTTTTTGCAATGTTTTTAAAAGGAATTTATAAAGTGAAACCAACTGGACAATCCTTTGTCTAAATACCATATGTACTTAAAATAACAAAAATTTTGCTCAGCTGTAAAAACTTCTGTTAGGGCTTCATTAGTAAGATAAAATTAAACTGCGCTACTAAAGAGCGTAGGTGTAGGAGGAGTTAAGTCTGGTGCTGTGAATACCAATCCTAACATCAGAACTGTGCTGACTGACCAGCACTGGGTCCTCCAGTTCCGTACTGTTAAACATGATGAGGTCAGGGAGTGGAAACACCAAAGCCTATGATCAAAGTTCAGCTCCCTGTTCTAAGTAAGCTAACCATTATTAAAAACACATAAATTAACAGTTACGGTACATGGTCAACAAAACTAAAGTCCAGAACTATGTAATATTGAGTTCATCCTGAACTTTAAAACGGATAAGCTAACGCTGAATTTCTGCGGCTACACGGCGGGATGTCTGCTCCTCATACAGGGGATGTATTCCTGCTAAGTAGGAATCTGAAGTATCGGTGTTCCCCTTCCTAAGGCCGACTCAGTCCTGAATGTGACAGCTGATAAGGATCTTCCGAATTCACAACCACGAGTGACAGAAATTATCCAACACTCAAGTGAACTGGAGACTAGAAGCCAAAGTCTGCGATATAAGGGTGGGCATTAATAATAATAATAGTTATTAAGTACTTATGTGCTGAGCAATTTGCTAAGTGTGTTACGTGCGCTGTCTTAGTGAGTTCTCATAGCAATGCTATGATGGAAATACTGTAATTTTCCCTCACTTTCCAGGTGAGAAATAGAGGCTCAGAGTAAATAACTTGCCTAATACTAAGAACCTAAGAAGGGAAGGAGCAAAAACTTAAGCTCAGGTTGTTTTCTGGAACCTATAGGAAACCCTAATCTTAACTGAAAGCTTGTAAGACGTGCCCTTTCCAAATAACTAAAACATGGAATTCCCAGGGGAAATTCGTTTGAAAAGGCAATCCTGTCACCAGCTTGAACGGGACAGGGAAAAGTAGCTATAAGAAAGAATGAAAAATTCAACACATGTAAATTAATGCTAACACATGCAATGTTTAACAGTACTCTTTACATCCATCTCCAGGACTCACCCGAATTATAATACTGCGGTCGGGTTCCTTCCTTTCTACATACACTTCAATTAACAAATCTCCAGCCTGGGAAACCTAGAAAAGGGCAGACGTTAAGAGAGCAAGTATAAGTATGCTGCAAGAACACACATACGACACTTAAGACAGTTAAAGTCCCAGTCCTATTTCTAAATATTTTAGACAATGAAACGAGCCAATCTCCCGTTAACAGCGTGATGACGCCCACGTACCAGGCCTGGTGGATTAAGAACAAGGCGTCTACACAAATGTTATAACCAGCGACAGCAGTCACGGGGAGGCTTCTTTTCTCTTACTGACAAGTTTAGAGTCCTCAAACACCCTTATATTCTTACAGAAATAATGTATCTGGCAGGAATAAAACTATGCTTACTATAACAACAGAAGTTGTTAAGCAAAATAAAGACTGAAAATGAACCATGTATAATTCTGCTCTAAGCTATAGTATGGGCCTAATACCAATAATTAAAAGGGAAGATAGGTCCTGCTACATTTTCAGATATAATATGTCCAAAAATTGAAATCTGAGGATATGTTAGAGTTGTATTAAAACTACAAAAAGAGAAAGTATATTTAGCAAGAAAAAATTAAAATGGAGTAATAAAATATGGCAGATAATACAGATAAGTTTTTAATTCTCTTTAGCCAAGCATTAGTGCTATTTTGGGTCACTACCACCCCTGAGAAGACATACCAAGTGAAGGAGATACAAGCCAGAATATAAAAAGCATAAGCTATTGTTATATGGAGATGGGCAATATCATGTGAAGACTAACAAAGAAGCAAATGAATCTATGAAAAATATTTTGTGTAGTTTTTTCTGGAAATTCCCTTAAGTTGTGTAATGACTTAGAAACAATATCCATCTTCCAGTTTTTAATGGAGAATGGATCATTCTGATTTGCCTCACCGTAAAGCCTAGTGAGTAAACTTGTGGGGAAAACATGAAACATGTACTGGGGAGAAGAGTTCTTAATTATTCTGACACTGTAGGCTTAGAAAAGACTATTTCTAACTTTATTTTCTCACTTTCGATGCTATACAAAAATCCTAGGGAAGAAAAAATACAGTTGACACTTGTATTTTTCACTGTGTTTGCATAAACAACTCTCCAGGAAGGACACATTTTTAAAAATTAAAAAAGCAAACACCACGAACTCATAGAGTGAAGCCAAAAACAAGCATAGCTAAGAAATTTGAACAGGGGTAAGACATGGAGACTGTCAGAAAAATACTCCAGAGGAGAGCTTGATGAAACAGAGAAAAGCTCAGGCAAAAGAACAGATTTTTCCAAACACTTGGACTTTCCTCTCCCAATTATTCTACTTTATAGACAATTCTTTTCTTACTCTTACTTATACCGAATTAGAAAGGATTCCAGACTCATTTCTTCACTGTATTATGGGTATAAAAGATAAAAATGCAGAGGGGTCCTCATGCTTTATGTAAAAAAAGTCTAGACAATGCTGTCAAAGATGATCCCTTGGGCTCACATGATCCTTTAATTCATGAATGAAGCTCTCCCCCAAAAAGCAAGAATCCAAGAGAACTAGCTAATAATGAGCCAGATTTTTCAGTTACAGCTTACTCCCCTGCAGGCTGCTGGAATTATTTTGGGTCAAAATGGAGGAGATACTCCTTTAGGAAATCAGTTTCACAGGATTGGTACTCGGGGATCTAGACACAGAATGAAAGTCTTGCCTCATCTCCTTCACGCAGAACGATAGCTCTGATGGCTTCTCTCATTCAGAGTGGATATCTCAGGAATGAGGGGGATTTAGGGTTTGCTAACAAGGAAACATTTGCCTCATTCTTTGAGTGCATCTAATAAACAGACTATGTTTGACTCATTTATATTATTTACATCAGTACCCTGAATCCACTACAATTCCCAGTTATTCAAAAAGGGTTAAGGGTCACTTTTAAGCAAGTCCAGTGAACAGTCATCCAACAAGGACAGGTGCCCTGGAACAGTGCAGGACAACCTGAACACACAGAGCCAACAGAATGCAAGTGAAGGAAGCGGGGAAAGTCTAGAAAAGTCGACTTAAGACATAAGTTAGCATATGTTACAAAGATCACAAAGAAACATTCCCACTAAGGCAATCATCCAAGAGCAGGCAAAGCAAAAGCATGTAAGAAATGATTTATATGTTCAAAATCAGAACGGACAGAATCACTAAGGGAGTCTGAGTTTTCAATTTTACTCCAGTATTTTGGCTTTAAATGCTTCCTGTGATATCCACCAGCATTTTTATTAGTGCTTTTATAAAGGAAAACTGATTTTATAAAGGCTATTTTGATAAGATTAACACTGATTTTTTTTCTCCTTCTATATTTTGAAAAATTTACATGAATGAACTTTGGCATTTTGCATATATGCATCATGCTGCAGAATTACACAACTATTTTTTGTTGGGTCCCTCTGCCCATTAATTTTACTTTGCTTCAAATATAAACTTGAAAATAAACACAATAAATGTCTTTACTTACAATGGAAGATTTTGTTTTTTGGGGGGGAAAAAAGATTTAATTATCTGGAGATCTAACTATTACTACTCACTTGAGTGTCTTTCCACTTGGTAATAAAGCTATTTTCTATGTCCATTTGTTTGACTTGGTCTTCTTTAACCTGTTTAAAATATAATTCGGGACATTCTAATAAAATACATGGAGCGATGGTACTCATCCTCACATAAGTTTCTTTAGGAATTTAAAGACCAACAAGTAAAAATACATGAGAATGGCCATCTCAATCCGTGTGGGGCAGAATGAAAGCCAACTAGATAGAGCTTCATAAAGGTCAGAACATTTTATGATACCACTTCAGACTACAGATCCCATCAATGGAAGCCCCTTTGCCAAGGCAGTTTAATGAACAAAGGGTCAGATGACTGGTTTGTAGAATTTATGTAGGCTGAGAGACAAGACTCATTTATCAAACTAAAATATTTATTAAGTGCTTATGAAATTTCTAGCATTTCAAGTTGGATTTAACAAAGCCATGAAGATAACCTTTTTTTTTTTAATCAATGAAACAGTACAAATATAAAAAATAAAGAGAGCATGCAAAGCCACACACTTTTTCCTAATTCTTTCATTTCTCAGCATCAGAATTATTGCATAGAGGTTGCTGTTGATCAAAAACAGGGACACATATAGAAAGAAATAAAAAGATCAAAGAGCAAAGAGCATCCGACAACTCCGGTGTCCATTCCTCTATAAATTAAGATACAAATGGTTATTTTACTTTATGAAAATAGTTTCCTTCCCTTTGCCAAGGAATCTTGTGATTAGTTATTAATAAGAATTTAAGAACTTTACAAACAGTAACTTATTGCACTGACCCATTTGATTTCATCTGGTATATCTATAGCACTGGAAAACAAGTCATCGTATAAAACACCATTCAATGGAATGCTCAGAAGGTTAAATGACAAAACTGAGATGCCAGAAATATGATGGAGCTGGACCATTAACCTAGATTCCTGTATTGCCTACATTTTCAAATCCTGGGCTTACTTCCTCTATTTTTATGTATTTGAACTAAGAAACCATCCCTATTCTAACAGTTTTCTGATGAAACATGAAAATATTAACTTCATAAAATAGCAAATTGAAAAATCAAATAATTAGAACAGAGATTACTTAGTAAAACCCACAGAACCATATTTTGGAATTTTCATTTTTTCCAATTCAGTGCACATTGAAAAGTAAACATGGAAATATTTTCAATTGCAGAATTTAACAGCCTGGTGTTTATTACTGAATTTGTAAATTCATAATTTCACACCTCTAAGTATATGTACTTAGTACATACACATACTGCGGAAGGAAAAACACACATAAAACCACTGTAAATAGTAATATTCTGTCCAATAGACACCAGATGGCAAAAAAGCTTTCAAAGCAGCCAAATTTAAATGACTACACCTTAAAAAGCTAGTTATATCTAAAAAAAGTAAAGATCAAATGTAACTATCCTTTATTTTCATTATTTTAAATATTCATAAAAATCTGAATTAAAACATATTTTTGTTTGCAAACAGTAACAAGAAAACTATTTTAACGAGAGCAAGATATAAAATACTTACCTCAAATATTTCAACATAATTATTAATTAAGTCCTCGATTACATTCACTTCTTCACTAGTTTGTCCCTTAGTTTGAAACAAACAGGATGAAAAGACCAAGGCCAAGTTATGGGCGTTCATGTGGTTGATTTCTGAGCATTTCTGAACCCTGTTGAATAAAGCATAGCTCATTCTGACACACTTACATTTGAAAATTGCACAGAACTATAATTTATAATACTCATTTGTCATTTTTAGCACATATCGAAGGTCTCAGATATAAAAGGCACATTTAAACTGTAATTTAAAGAAAAATACACAGTTCTTCCTTCCAAGTAGCTAACAGTGTAGTTAGGAATGTAAGAAAAAGTAGTGTTCAAGAAGACAGAACTACAAGTTACAGAGCAGCACCTGAGTGTTGATTTAGAGGGACCCACTGTATCCAAACAATCCCAGATTGTTTACCCATAGGGACAACCTATGGGTAAGGTGTAAAGGTCTGCTTGCAGGATAGTGTGAAATGACCTGTGGGGCTGAAGCATAAATGAGGGAAAAAGGGTGGTAGGTAAGCAGGAAACAGGGCAAGAAAGTGAATCGGGAGTCATATGATAGAGGGTTCCAAATTCAATATTCAGGGCTGGGCTGAACATTCCAGAAAGTGCACTATCAAATGAGAAAGTACCTGGCAGCTATTGTGTGGTCATTCAAAATAGGATATTAGCTCTTAAAAAGCAAACAATTTATAAATACAACTACACTTTTCTTGAATATAACCAAGAATGGCTTCCTATGATGAACAGAAATGAACAGACAAGTCAACTCTCCCAATCAGTATATCATACTTGGGTCTTACAAAGAACATTTAAAGTAGCCACAAATGTAAGTTCAAAAAGACTAAAACAAAATAAAAACTACAGTAGTCACCATAATAAAATAAAATTTACGTTGGTAAAAATGCATGAGATGAGAACATGGAGTGATACACATGGGAGCATCTATCAATGCCCTCTATTTGCCACTGGCTGCATATATAGCAGCCGCTTCATTGCCTAATCACACTTGCAAACTTTTAGAACATATACAAATCAAGGCAGACCAACTCTATCAAAAAAATAAAGCAAGGCTAAGGTAGGTACACCTGTCTGTAAGAACAGAGATTCTAGTAGGTACCGGAAAAAGTGATCAAACATGACAGCAATATACAGAGTATCCCCCCAAAATGCATACAGACTTTAACAGCTGATAACTCAGTTTTGAAAATGAAATGTATTTTAATAATCACTGCTTTTACAATTATTCAAAGTGTGTACACAATTATTCAAAAGTATACTTTTTGGGGGGACACCTATATATGATAATGTAAGAAACAAAACAATGCCAAATTGCATAGTAGAGACAGAACAAGTACATTCACCCTATAGGATTTACAAGATGCACAAAGAATTACAAGTTTATAGAAAAGAATGTAATAACGGCAGACACCACTCTCAAAACCACTTCTGTACTCTTATCACATTACGCTGTGAACATCTGGAAAATTTAGCTGCATGTCTGCCTCTGGTAGTAGAATCTAGGCATCTTACAGTCGGAGACTTGCTTTAATCACACTGTAGTGCGTAATAAATATCTGGTGAGTGGAATTAAGGACATATTAGTCATGGGGAAGGGACCTTTTTTCTAGGGCAAGGATGGCATTAAATGCTACATCAACCTGACCTTATCCAAACTGACCTGGAACTTTTGACGACACTCTCAAACATTCCCACCTTTCCTGAGACTTCCCTCCGCAAAAGCATTCTCCTTTGGTGCTCTTCATCTCTCTTCACTTTTTGTAGCTGCCTTCACTTCTCCCACAAGTCTGTACAATACAGTATTTTTCTTTTCTCCCTTTATTTCTCAGCTCCCACAGGTTAGCGTTCCCCTGAGTTCCTCACTCAGCCTGCTCAGTCTCTTCTCACTCAGGCCTTCTCATCAGAAGCCCAAAAAAACCGTTTCCTAATGAGTTTCTCTGCCTCTATTCTGACCTCTTCCCAGCTCATCCCATTATAGGAGTCATCCTAAACAATATTTAATCAGTCACTCCCTAGGACTTAAAGGAATAATATCCACATGTTTTTCCATGATGGAAGAGACCTTTACAACCTCCTTCCAGACAACTACAAACCATCTTGTGTCCCAGCATACCTACTTCCTAGAAAACACCCTTTGCTCATGTCTTACACTTATTATTTCATGCCCAGTTCACGCCTCTTTAAATCTGAAGCATGCCTGGACCTCAGCAATGAATGACTCAATCCCTTCCTCGAAAAGTCCATGTCTCATGCTAAAATTCTCTGTATTAAAATCTGTCCTGACGTTGCTGTGCTTCCTTAAAGAAATATAAAATGCCCTGCAGCACCCCATGAGTTCACTGTGACATCCAGGGCACCGGGGTGCTCAGTTTGGGAACTGCAACCTTAAGACAATTTTTGTGCATTAGGTATTATCATCAAATATTTCTGTTCACATGGACGCTGAATAGGCATCGTCTTGTACACAACAGAAGCTAAAATATATGTTAGTTGAAGAAAAGGAGGGCAGGCGGAAGGATGGGAAGGGACTCGTTATCTCAAGTTCAGATCTGAATTAAGAATTGTAAGAATAATGATGTGAAACTCAATGTTTAAAATACTAATACACTCTAGCAGCCTGGTCACTATTAAAATTTTTGAAGAAAAAAAATAATCTTTCCCAAAGTCTCATAGGCACAGAGATAGGACGTCACGGACTATATTTCTGCGGTGCAATAAGAAAGTGAATTTTACAGTAATGGAGTTTATGTGCATGAGAAGCGGCGGCTGCAAAGGCTGAAGAGAAAAAGATTGTGGAGGATTCTGGATGGAGGCTCCGAGGTGCCCTGAGCAGAATCCTGCTCCACAGAAATGTACTCCAGGGACTGCTGCATCCATGCAGGCAGCTACAGCAATATATTCCTTAAGCAATGTCGATGCTTTAAGGCCTTTGTGATAATTTTCCCTGGTAGCAAAACAAGCCTTTGGTTTTAACGTAAAAGGTTATTTTCAAACATCCTCAACCTCAGGTGTCGCTTCTCAAGCTACCATTGTATTCCTCCTACTCTCCCAAAGCAGGGGACTCGTGTCCTTGCACAGAAAATGTTCCTGACTTTTAACATTTCCTCATCTGGTCCACAGTGTGACACCAACATATCAGAGGCAGGGTAGATGCAAACTGATAACAAACAAACAAAGAGTTTATGAAGAGTCCACCAGGAAAAATGCCAGACAGACAGACAGAGCCCTGCTACAGAATTCTGGTCCCTGGACTTTCTTCTCTTGTCCGACTTCCCTCTTAAATGAGTTTTGAAATTCTTGCTTTATGCACTTGAGGATGCTATACACGATTATTTTAAATTCATTTCAAGAAGCTCTCTAGTGCTATTTATTTGAAATGCATCTTAATTACAGAAAGAGACTCTAAAATGATAGTTTAATGGGAATTCCATTTGGAAACCATTCTTAAGATACAGTGAAAGATTTGCGGTCACATATAGAAGGTTAACCACAGTACTTTAAATTCAGGAAATAATGACTTATCAAGTGCCATGTTTGAAATAAATTAGGAAATTCATGAATCCACCCACCTGTAAAGGTGTTCAATTATAGCTGCCAATGTTGCTCGGTTGACCCCTGAAAGAGTACCTATAAACGCTCCATATTTTTTAATTCTTTCCTTGTCATCTTGGGTATCTAGAGGTTAAAGAAAAACAACACACTTAGGCCTAAAATAATAATCTGTGTTATATATTTGCCTTTTAACAGTATTATAAAACAATATTCACAATTGTATTTCACTAAGTGATATAGTCAAGTTTCAACAGAAAAATATTCAAACTTCTATAATTCTGGAGATGTATTTACATAAACATTCTGTGGCTGTATGCTATAGCTCTTATACTTTGCAATTAAAAACATAGCACTTTCAAAACCCAGGGTTGTATTTTATCTTCTACTTTATGGACTACTGAACTTCACCTAATAGAAAAGTATTCAATTAATAACTCAAAGTGGAGTGAAAATTGAAGAGATAAACCAAAAGTATTTTACCTCTGGCTATGGAAAGATTTCACTATATGTATTTGAGAATGACGTTTCTTTTTTTTTTCCTTGTGAAATCATAAAAATCTTCCCCAAACTAAAACCAGCCCAGAGCTATGAACTGTGCACTACCCAGCAGCCCTGGTACCTTCAACTCTGGGAAAGGAAATGGGACAGGAATGATGCGCAGGTCCGGACGGCTATGGTACTGACTTAGAGCAGGATGGACCCCCTGCCTTAGTCACGGACAGAACTTGGTTACTCATGGAGAAGAGGCCAAGACGGAATTACCCTCCACTCTCCTAACCACAGGAAGTCAGATATTTGGAGAAACTAGACGCAGGAACCCTCAAATCTCTAGTCCATAAAAGAAGCAAGGCAGTGGTTTTGTCTAACCTACTAGCTCACAGGGGAAATAAAAGACCTTTCTTCAAACAAATAACTTATGCTGACTTTGTAACTCAAGGGGATTGCACATATATATTCCCTCTCAATTCCCAACTCGCTTTGGAAACACAACTTTTTCATTTTCTGTTTAGCCCTACCTATTCTATTCATAGAAAGCCAGCAGCACATGAATGATTCTTTAAAAGTACATGGTCACTGGTAAAGGGCATTAGGATCCTTGGGGAGGTAAGGAACTCTGACACATATCTGAAATGCACTCCCACTCAAAACTGCAACGGACAGCTCCTTTGTACTGACTCAGCCTGCACGGAGACCTATAGAAGGAAACACCCGCATACTGACTTACCTGTGCTGGTAGATGAATTACTCTCTAAAAGCAAGAGGGGCAAACACCCGAATTATATTCGGAGATTATACTGGAAGTGAATTAAGGATTAACTGTCATCTCTAGTACAGTCCAAACATTTACCCTCACGTCTTGTTTCTAACTGTAGAAGTAACTATGTATTCAATAAAAAGTAATTAATACTACTACACTTATAACAAGAAGTTGTGCTAGTACAGTGTATTTTCACAAATCTTACAAAAATAAAATAAATGACATTTTCAAAATAAAGCTTAGGGAAATAGAAAGTAAAACTTAACATAGATTTTGGGTCACACAGAAAATATAATGAACTACTCAACTAGCCACAGACATCAGACAATTTAATAGTGCTCTTGGAAGAATAGATGGTGAATTATACAAACAGGTGCAATGTCACTGTAAGGCATTCTTCCCCTTGGATGCACAGGACCCAAGAAAGCTCTCCTATGAGGTCACCTAGAGCTTTCTGGCTGAGCCTTGTCAGACCCAACACAGGACTCTTCTGGAAGGTCAGGGTGAGAGCTATATTGGATTCAAATGCAAAGGACTTTAAAGCTATCTGACTCAGTATTCAAAGCCTTCTCCAAGTCAATTCTCAAAGAATTCACATCCAAGTGAAAGGTGAATATATTCCTCTCCGAAACATGCTGTCCTGTCCCACCTCCCTCCTCCTGACAGACTGACATTAAGGACATCTTTGTCACTGAATCTGAAACTTCAGTGAAGGCATATATGCCACAGATTTTTTTAATCACTAATTTTATAATAAAGACAAGCTGTAAGTCCTTATAAAATAGATACTATGAATAACTTAATAGTCAAACATTACAATAAAATAGTTTAAAAACAAAAATGAGGGTGTCAAGGTAACTGGGCTTAAAGATGTATCATCTTATTCCGTTTCTATATTCCAGAAAATTATATAACCATCTCTTCTTGTGACTTGAGTTAAACCTATTAATTAGGGAAATATCAGGGAGCAAATAAAAGACTTCTGAATTATACAATTGTGAAAAGCTTTATTTTAATAACAATATTACACTCTTCTGGCTGGTACTAATAAGGGTCATTCTTAGGTTAATTTTTCAAATTGTGGAAGTTTTGTGACATCATTTCAAAATTAAGTCCTTTAACTGTCTTATTTATGTTGTAAACAAATACTTTCAGAAAAAAAGAAACATTCCTCAACAGAGGAATATCATATTGTCAAATTTTAAGGTCATTTTCCCAAAAAATCTTAAAACAGATTAAATGTGCAAGAAAGAAACATGAGTAAACTGTGGTATAATTCAATGATAAATTTTTAAAAATTGGGGGAAAAAAGAAGACTGAAAATCATTTTGAAAGCACTGTAAATATATGGAANAAAAAAGATTGAAAATCATTTTGAAAGCACTGTAAATATATGGAAAATATCTGTGATTTAATAAAATACTGATATGTAAATTATAGGTGTGGGGCAAAGACTATACAATAAAATGTAAAAATAAAAATAGCTCTATTAGAAAGATGAGATTGGAGGGAATGTTTATATTTTAAAGTTTTTATTGTTGTAATGTTTCCATAAAAGGAGTTGCTTTGAATTAATAGACAGAAATAGAGGTTTATTAAAATCATTTTGGCCAAATTAGTCATTTAATAAACTACTTTTCTAGGGTCATTTCTGAAACAGGTTCTCTTCCACTGTAGCTAAGCTTTTAAACTTCATTAAACAGACTCTAGAGAAAATAAATAAAGAGTAAAAAAATTGTCATTATGTAATCCAAAGAGGAAGAATAAATGATAGAGGAAAGCCAAAAGAGCCTACAGGAAAATCTTATAAAACCAATCATGTATTAATTAAACCTTTCAATTTACCCTTAATGAGAAATTAATAGCATACGTGTACTTTATTATAACACTTCCCAATTTCAAGCAGAGTAAGAACTAAGAAATCTACTGAAAACTAAATATATAAAACATTACTTGGCGATTTTTACTCTAAATTTCTCTTTAGGTAAATATAAACAACTCTTGGCGCTGAGACAATTTCTCTTCTGAGCATGTGTACTTTCGCGAAGGGGCGGGCGCCTCACCTAAGGCGGAGATCCAGTAGGGGTAGAGCTCCTTGGCCAGGAGCGCGTCGTCGGCGTCGGACAGGAACCGCTTCAGCACGCCCGTCACGTCCTCCAGCTGATGCTTCCCGGCCCTCAGCTTAAAGCTCCTCGCGTCCTTTTTGAAACTCTCCAGGAGCTCACTTACGCGCAGAGGATCACCATTCTTTTGATAGATATATTTGCACCCTAAACCTTTGTTTAAAAAAAAAAAAAGTTTACATGAAAAAAGTCTAAAACCAAAATCCATTTTGACATCCTAAGAATTTAACAAATTTTTGTGTTGGGGTGATGAGCGAGAAGGAATCTTTACCCGAGTCGATACAAACATGTCCGAGGGGGACAGGCCTGCCCCCCTAATTTTAGTACTTACAGAGTAAACCTGATGAAATATCCCATCCTCGGCTCTGCACAGGACCCCGGTCAGCCCTTCCCCAGCTCTTCACAGTGCCATTTAAAACTGTACTTTTACGGCAGGTGCCCTATCTTCACGGGTCCCTGGAACACACTCGCCTCCAGTTTCACTGACAAAAGTGAGGCTCCCTGGTGTGAATGCCCTCGGTCCTCTGCCCTCATACGTGCATATTAATGTCGGCCTGTTCCCACCTTCGCCTTCCAGATGAAGAGCTGGGTCTCCATTTTTACCAAGTTATTGATTCATCAAGTGCCCCATATAAAATAAGAGAAAAGCAGTGGGGCGGAGGAAGACGAGTGATGGGACAGTCCATGATACAAGAGCTCCCTGGACAGACAACGCCCCTGGTGACTCCACAGGAGCACACAGTTTCTCCTGTTCCTTCTCATGAGCGCCTGTTTTCTCTCAAGACTCATGTAGGCACCGCCTCAGCCAGGCAGCCTTCCAGGGCCACTCCTCCTCTGCGTGAGATTTACCCCTACACACGCGGACGCCTGTACCAACCCAGCGCCTCGCTACCACAGAATTCTGTACACTTGGGATATATCTGTCTGCCCACTTGTCTTTCATCCACAAATCTGTAAAGTCCTAGAAGGCAAGGGTCATGCTTATTCTCTGCAGACAGCAGCTACATAGTGCCTACAAAAACTCAGCAGGCTTTCAATAAATGGCCACTTGATGCAAGAATAAGCAAATTCTACAAAAAAAAACTGTGACTGTATTTCTGAGATACTATGTTCCTAGTTGAGTGAATTTCTAATAGCTGGTAATAAATAAGTTAACTGAATGTGAATTTGAACATAATTTTGTTTACATTAATTAATTTCCCCTAAGAACAAAACACTGTAACTCATTTAAAAATTAAAATTATAAAAGTTATACTGTGAACTCGGTCAAGTTCAAATCTTGACACAAGGAAAACAAAAAAAATCCGCCTTTAAATTTTAACCCAAAGGTCAGGGAGTTCAACATAAGTGTGACCTAAAAGGCTCTGGGCTGACCAACTGCATCCTATAATCACTGCACATTTTCTAATAAGATTGGGGTTTTCTCCATGTTCTGCTCATTAAAAAACTTTAAAAAAAATAAAGTCTTTCATTGGCTTTATTACTTTAATATGCAAGTTAATGCACCTTGTGTTAGACTTACAAAGTAGATATAATGAATGAGATTTAGTTGAAAACAATCTAATACTTAATGACTTTAAATTCAAATAAACAAAGTAACTTCTGATTTCCCTAGAGAAACATTAAATTGTATACAATGGAGCTAGTCAAGTTATTTTAATAATTTGTCAGCTTAAGAAAGACTATGCCATTATAAAACTAACATGATGTGGAAACTCCCAATGAGGTTATGCTCTTGCCAAAACATAATATGTGTATAATTCATTCATACCTGCAAAATGCAGGGCACTAATACTGAATAATGAATAACCAATAAAATGAAGATGATGACCTTCTTTCTCCCTCATTTTCAACTAAACATATGATTACAGCTGATAAGAGATATATAAACATACTATCATAGGAAGAACCCTCACAGAGTAATGCCCACATAATGTGATTAAATACATATTTACAGTAGACAGATAATCCAAACACAACCAATCTGATTATTAATGACTGCACTTGGGTTATGTATGAAATAAGTAAAAATACTTAAAATAGCGCTCTTCTTAGAAGAAAATGGACCAATATACACATATTATAAATATTATTTTCTTCATAGCTTTTGTTATTTCTGATGCTGTTACATATCAGTTTATTGTCAGTTCTCAGGCAGAAACTCATGATTCATGATTTGTCTTTAACTTTCTACTCCCACGGCTGTATTTTCAGTACCAAGATCAGCGGCTGGCACACAACAGACATCCAATAAACAAGGACCCACTAACAGTATTTCACTGCAGCTCTCACTGACACTTTCTTTCAAATTAAAAATACCTAAACACATTTCTAATTTTAGGAGAACAAAAAAGTTAATATACTTTCCAAAATACCAGGTCAATCATTTTACTCTTTTCTACATTTGTAACCTAACTCTATGACATTTATCTACAGATTAAAAGGTAGAAATATTTTTATATTGAAATATAGTTATGAAATTTCCACCTTCTAGAGTACTAGGGAAATCTGCAATAGAAAGAATGAGTCTGAAGAATTCATAGTAATTTGCAAATAAGCATGAGGAACCAAGGCATACTTTTACCCTTCAGGCATATTTAAAATACTACCGTAGCATATTAAAATAAAGCTGAACTATGTAGGTATCCAGCTAGTTTTTTTACCTGCACACTATTCAAAGAAAATGTTACAATTAAGTCAAAACTATTATAATTAATAACCATGATTCTCAATATAAACATGCCACCAACAGCATGGGTATGTGAAATAAATACAGTACATACACACTTGTATGCAGGCTACAAAAGTAAATTCTTTTGCATCCTGTCCCATGTTTACCACTTCTAAGAACATGCTGAGACAGCAACTGCATCCCCCTAGACTGGACTGTAGGCTTGTAACATCTGAAAAACAGTCTTTTATCTATTTTTAATATACATTTCACATCACAGATCCTTTCAATATGTTATTTAAATTGTTGTGAACATAAAGCAAGAATAAAATGGTAAAAGGACGTTATATAATTTAAATGAGTTTTACTGGGCTACAGAATGGCCTTTCACTGGACAGTGACTATGTCTGTTGTTTTCACCGATGTACTTAACCGATATAAAAGGTTCTAATTCAGCCCACCGGAGGTAACGCTTCAAAACTCTGAGGCTGATACTATGAGTCAGGGGTTGAATAAGAACTGATACGTACCATACTGCGTAACAAATGCTATACAGCTGTTCACGATGATGGGAACGTCATTTTGGCTGAGCTGCTGATCCTGCAAAGCATTTCCATCTGTACCTGCTGCTTTCTCAATTGCAGCATGCCAGACTGTGAAATCCAGCTTGGTGTGCCCGTGGATGTACAATGTTCTGTAGAGTTTAAAGAGCATCTCACATGGTAATTTTGCTTTAAAACAAAATTCTTACTTCTAGACAGATGACCCTTAAATCCCATATACATGTGATCTTGTCTCACCCATGAGAAGAAAAACCCTCCATCTTCCACTCGAAATGCCTCTTTTTCCTGCACAGTCACCTCTCTCCAGAGTGGAGGAAGTTCTCTGAATCTGCGGTCTCACCTCCTTTCATTTCCCAGCCCCTGTTATTCTCTTTCTGAATGAAGGAACTGAACCCGTTCTGGTAAGCATCACCAAGGACTTCCATTGGATATATGTGGCTGTATTTTTCAAGATTTCAGAACTGTTTATGATTTCATTTCTTTAAAAAAGAGAGAGAAATATCCCACCCAATTTGGCTTTGTAGCACAATTCTTCCTGTCTTTTCCTCCTATCTTTCTGGTCACTTTCTTTTCCAAGCTCACGGATTCCTGAAAATGAAGCTGTAACCTCAGTGAACTCACATGAACTCCACGGCCTCTCCAGGGACAGTGGTTTTAGCCCAACCTCCAACCCCCCCCCCATACATAAATTAGGAACTCCCAAATCCCTATTCTCCAGGCCATAATTTTGTCTTACAAACCAGATCCCCATGTAATCAAAAAGCAAAAAGCTTACAACAGCTAAGAGTAGGAAATCCAATCACTTCCAGAACTCAAACTTCAGCTCTGTGCTTACTTCCTTTGTCACCTGGGAGGAGTGATCAACCCTCTTTGGGCCTCAGGTTCATCACTGGCAAAATGAGGATAATAGCACCTACCTCAGCATTGGATAAATGTAATATTAATAACTAAGTAATAAACCATAATACTAAGTAATATCAATTTTGGACACCTTCCCCATAACGTGCCACAAGCATCTCAAACCTTCCTGCTTCCTCATACCAAACTGATGCTACAATTCTCCACTTATCCACTGGAAATTTAGGGTTAACTGTAGATTTGTCCCTGCCCACCACCGCCTCATCACTGCCACACGAATTCAGTCACAAAATGCTGCTGGTTCCATTCCTGACGTACTCCCTTTGCCCCCTTTATTCCAACACGGCCTTACTTCAGGTCCTCATATCACTCCTGAGTCACCAACACCCCTATGCACAGAACTCCACCTCTCTAATCCCAGCTCTCTGGGGCTGCCAGAACGATCTTTCTAAGATGGAAAGCTAATGACATCACTTCTTGACCACTGTTCTTCCATAGCTCTGGAGTTTTAAAGATTAAAAGGCCTTCATGACTTGGCCCATAATTCCCTTTCAACTCTGCCATTCCCCTACACTCAAGATGCACTAGAAAATTACATCGCCTTATCTCTGTAATAAACATGTCCTGCTCTTTGGCTGGCAACTCCAAACTTCCCCCAGGTGTGCTCCAGGTGACCCTCCTTTCACTCACCCCTGACGTCCCGCCTATGCCTAGTGATAACAGGTGTCCCTTCTTAATCCCGAGGAGCCACTCTTCCCTCCACTATACCATCTGCTCCATGTTTGGGAATATCTTAGCTGTCAGATCCAAACGTCACACAGGTGACCAAGGAAAGCATTTCAGTGTATCTTCAGTAATTAGTACAGTGTCTGACATTTAGTAGGTACATAATAGTTTTAAAGTCCTATCACTAGACATAAAAATTGATTTGAAACACCAGTTAATCACTGATGTATTTAAGTATATTTACACTGAAGTAAAACTAATCTCCATTTCAAAGTAGGAGATGGCTGCTTTGGATTCAAACAAAGAGAAAGGAATGAGCTGTATAAACTCCAGGTGGTTGTGTTTTTTGTTGTTTTTTTGGGGGGGGCGGGTGTGTAATCTTCTACTTTCCTGACAATTCTGATAATAACTGGCTCTAATTTAATTTAAAAAGAAAATAAAAGGCCTTTTCCCCTTTATTTTATTTTCTTGAAATGCTCCTCTAAGAAGACAAAGTTGCTGGCACCTCAGCACACTTACGTTGGCAATCTCCTGACCTCGCTGTAACTGCCAGCACTTCACTAATGTCCGCAATCTCCATCTCTTGCTTTCTGACATCTTTACCCATTGTTTTTATTTTTCCACATCACTATAGCAGCCCTGGCACCTCCAGGTTTTATCATTTCTTTTATGAAGAATTCTGCCACTCTAATATTCCTGACACGCTTCAGCCTTTTCAGTTATCTTACATCATCTTTAGCTCAAAAGCATTCTACTGCTTCGCATATTTGTCTAAATGAAACTGTAACTCGGGTAATCTTCCTGAGAAATATCAAGCTCCTACATTGTTAGACCGAACTAAAATTATATCTTGCTAAATTCAGGAGTTCAGGTAAAGAGAAAATTTTCACTTTTTTTGAGTCTTAGTTTTTGTTTTTTAACCTGATGATTAAAACTGTTTGCTTTTAAACAAAGTACTACTATGGGTATTTCAGAGCAGTGAAAGAAATCCAAAATGCAACAGCCCTCCTACAAGAGCAGTATAATTCTGCCATTAATTGTCAATGTTTCAAACTTCAGACTTCCTTTGTAGTCAGAAGCAATCTTATGATGACAAGTTTTGCTGTCTCCTTGTGAACAGTGAGGGGTAGAATGAATCAAAAATTAACTCCCGAGTCAACTTGTCAAGGACAGAATCCTTAAATATATCATCTAGTGCAGTGGATGTCTGACATTTAACTGCATCAGTCCAACGGCTTTCCTCTCGGATGCTCATCTAAACTCTGTGTACTTTGAAGAAAGCAGCAAAGATGTTTTCAACACAAATGCTGGTGGAATTTGTGATTCCAAGTGTTACCAGAAAGCAGCCATTTCACACCTCTGGATAAGAACTCCAAAGAAACAGTCATTCACAACTTTAACATCTAAAAAGTTATTTTGAAGAGCTGTAATTATAGAGAGAATTATTCTAATTGTCCATTTCCCAAGCACAAATTTTAAAGGGTACCTCAAAAGCCATATAAAGAAATATCTCTATACCCTAGAACTAATCAAAACAACTTAATAAGATCCAGAAACCAAGTGCCAGGACTAATAAAAACAATTTTCTCAAAATTGCAACATAACCACCAAAAAGAGTAGGCTATCATAGTTAAGCCTAGTCAGATGAGAACCAGAAGCGTCTTCACAAAGAACAGAATCAATAAATTTGTATAAAAAATAAATTCACTTCTATAACTAAACAACATTTTAAACACAACTAAAAAGTAAATGACAGACTCTACACACATGAATGAAAACGATAATATCCTAAGCGTTTATACAAAAATAAAAACACCTAATCTTCTAGTATAAGTTGGCATTTATTTGGCCCATGAACACTATTTTCCTTTTATCTCTGAAAGATATTTTTGCTGAATAGAGTCTTTTAGGTTAACAGTTGCTGGTTTTGAGGTGTTTCTTTTTTCTTTCCCTTTTTTTGTCAGCATTTTAAAAGATTTCATTATAGTACGTTCTGGGCGGGACTGTTTCCAACAAGACATTTTCATCTTTGACTCCAATGTTTAATATGTGTTTTCCTCTGGGACTTTTCCTCCTCACACTGGTTTTCTGGAATTGGATTAGGATGTGCCTTGATGTGGTTTGTCTTTATCATGCTTGAGGTATGTTGATTTTAGCACCTGGGGGTTTATAGTTTTCATCAAATTTGGAAAACATTTGGTTACACTTCTTCAAAGATTTTTTTCTTAATCCATTTTTCTCTTCTCTCATTTTTGGATTCTAATTATACTGAAACTGCTTGATATTGTCCCACAGGTCACTGAGGCTCTAGCAATTTTATTTAGTCTTTTCTCTCTGTGCTTAAATTATGATTTCTACTGTCATGCCTTCAAGTTCATTAATCTTTTTTATATAGAGTTTACTCTGACCTTTAGCCAATCCAGTGAAATTTTTTCAGATACTGTATTTTTTGGCTTTAGAAGTTCCTTTTGGTTCTTTTTTTCCCCAGTTACCCATTTTTCCTTGCTATGCTTATGTTTTCCTTTATCTTTGAAAATATAATTTATAATATTTAAAAATTACTGTTTAGATTCTTTGCTACTTTCATCACCTGTCTCACTTCTGGGTCAGTCCCTGTCAGCTGGCTTGAGGCCTTTTCGCCTCACTGGTCATCTTAACCACATGCCAGGCATGGCGAGTGCTGAGTGCCAGGAGTGTGCTGTCTTCCCTTGGGATGCTGATGTTTGTGTTGGCATCACTTGCCTGTTTGACCCGGGGCACCGCATTACTTGTAGAGCAGCTGATCCTCTGGATGTCTACTTTTAAAGCTTAGTCAGGTAGAAATAGAGCAGCCTTTACTCTGGAGCTAGAGTTACTTTTCTGGGGTCTTTACTAATGCCCTCTGCTTAATTAGGTCTAACACGGGAAGTTGTTTCTGCCTGGCCTTCTGGAGTTTCACCGGGGCAATGTGCAGATGCGCTCTGAGCTGGGATGAAAGTGAGTTCCTATGAAGATTTCTGCAACTCATTCTCTACATACCTCCCTCCACTCTGGCACTCCATTCTTCAAATTTTAGGGACTGCACATTCCCTGAACTCCTATCTCCACCTCTTTAACCTAGCAAAACCATCACATTCTGCTTAAGTCTCCCCATTCCCTGTGCCATGAACTGAAAAGTGCCTACAGCTAGGAAGCCAAGGTGATCTCAACTCTCACTTCATCTGTTTCCCCTCTCTCCATGATCACAAACCTGGAATGCCTATTGTCCCAAAGCCTGAAAATAGTTGGTTCATATATTTTGTCCAGTTTTCTAGTTGTTCAAACTGAGAGGGAATATACCAGGAAATTTATTTCTTCATGGCCAGAAATGGGAGTCTCGCAAATTTTATTTAGTCATTGCATCTATAAATTACCCTCATTTTAGTTTATAGTAATACACTATTTTTTCCCACCTTCAGATAAAAAACTGCTGCACAGAGATGGAATTTTGGCCAGAAACAGGCAAACAATTATTAAGAAAACCTGCAGATGCAGAAACTGTGTCATGAGAATAATACGGCAGAAAATGTCACCCTAAGTAGCTTGTTGCTTCTGAAGCCCACAGTGCAATAGAGTGTCAAGGCACCCGTTTCCCTGAGAAAGGCAAGGTCTCCAATCTGTCAGTCTCATCTCTAGACTCTATTAGGCAATTAACTTATAGGAATGAGAGAAACAGCCCTGTTTTGAGCCTGCTCAAAACCTTTAATGGTGTTCCATTAATGAATCCCAATCCTCATTCTTAAAAATAGTTTTAAAATACATTTTCAGAAAAGCCTTCTGTACCTTTCTGAAGGGCCTTCAATCCTTTCTAGAACAAGGCAAGTTGTTAATTAAATGTATTGATAATACTAACATGGTACCAATCTACCTTCTAGGCCCACTGGTTCATGCCCCCTCCTCAAGACATGAAGGTTAAATGGCCAACCTGAACTGAAGCTGTTCCCTAGCCCATCCTATTTCTCTGAACCTACTGTTTCCAACTCGCCTAATACCTTAGTCTCTCTGCCACCTCATTTTTTCCTGCTGAAATTCCATCTAGAAATTCCAGATCCAGTTAAAAATACTTCTCTAAAAACACCATAAAAAAAACCCCCACATTATCCTGACCCTATTTATGCATCTAGAAGGGATCTTTTCATTCTTTTGTATTTTTTTGCATCATATCTCATTTGCTTGTAAGCTTACATTTTACTATATAGAACGGGCTTTGAACTGATTGAAATAAATTTTCAAGCAAATAATATATACTTTAAAATCCACCTTTTGTTAGTCCTGTATTCCCTTTATCATAATTCTCTTTAACAACAACAACAACAAAAATCACTCCATAACATAGGTTTGAATAGTCTCTTTCTTTTTGCAAAACCTGTGGGGGTGATAAGAGAAGAGAATCTCTTGTTTACCTTGGCAACATTCAAATTCAACCATCTCTTCAAATTAAATCATCAGAAAGTTATAAAAGCAGTCAAGCTGATATTGTGGGCAATAGGCTACTGTTTAATTTGCAATTACATGCACAATTTAGAAACCACTTTAAGATAATTCACCCTCCGGAGTATTGCTAACATAGTGCAAGAAAATACAATTCAAGGAGGCAAGAATATCGCATAGAGTAAGTTGATATGAAATAAGAATCTTAAACTGAGGTGTTAATCTCCTAAATTGAGGAAAGTAGCCTGTTTCATAATTGTGGAACATATTGATAAACTGTTTATTCCCCAGTGATAGCTTCTTTGTGTCTAGAATCTGCGATTAAAAGTGAATGCAGCCAGGCTTGGGAACCACTGAGTGACATGCCCTACTATATAGGTCAACCAAAGAATCTTAAAAACAAACAAACAAACAACAAAAACCATGCCAGTCTCTTCTATTTCTGATAACACAGATGAGTTATTCATTCATGTTTACTGTGCTTATTGCAAACAACAACCTTTCGGTAATAGGTGTTTGACAAATGGCTATGCAACTATATAATGTGAAGACGGTGAATACAGTGGCTTATTTATCAGAAAAAGATGTACAGAAAGTGTGGGCTAAAGTGCAGAAACAGTTTCTAATTTTTAAGAAAAGGATGTTAATCCATTAAACGTTCCAGTTAAAATAAATATATAAGCTTCCATCCAGGTTNTAATCCATTAAACGTTCCAGTTAAAATAAATATATAAGCTTCCATCCAGGAAAACGCCTTCTGACCTTGTGATACAGAGCACAGACTGATGAACACAGATATTCAAAAACATGATTTTTTAATTTTTTTTTTTGCAAACAGAAATTCTAAGCAAGGTATAAAAGAAAACCAGAGGATCTCCTAGTAACAGCACCAAATAGCATGCCAGAAACCCTTAAGTGTAATCAAGAAAGCTTTATTTTTCCACAATAATAATTTTTAAAGTATACAAAGAATGCACATTAAAAGCAACACCATCTGGAACACCTTCTGTTTAGAGCTTTTTGGAGCAAAAATGCTCTGTGTGGAAAATATTATTGCAATATTTTTCTGTCTAAAGGCACTCATGCTATACATATAGAGAAAATTACCACAAAGATTACAATATATATCTAAATAGCGACTATATTCAGTGGCTGATTATCAATTTATGAACTGTTCCAGTTTACAGGGTTCTTTCTTCTCCTTGCCTTTAAGGAACATTAATATATTTTAGCACTTTAATCAAAGGTAGACAAGGACAGGGGGAAAATGTGAAATTAATTCATTAAATTTACCTATGATTTCCAATTCTGGTTCTAGCAGTTACTAGCAAAAAAAAAAAAAAAAAAGTCTAAAACTTACGGCTGGTTGGTTTCTCGCTCTTTCAATTATTCACTATCTCTATATACCATCAACATGAATAATTGGAGGTTGTTTTATTTCCTAAAGCCACAGGTTTATCTGTCATTGACAGGTCTAACACAATCTACTTGAACACACATTATTTCCCAAGGGGCTAGTAGATCAAAAGAGGGATGGGAAAAAGGGCAGGACAATGAAATTCTCTTATTTGGAAATGATATTAAAACAGCTCTTAAACAATGACGCCTATAATCAACGGGCTTGTTTGAGTGCCAGGAGAGAAGTACGTATTCCCCGTCTCAGTAAATGGCACAACCGTTTGAAACATCCGTCACGCAGGCCAAAAGCTCAGGAGTCACCCTCACCTCCTAGTTTACAAAGACCTGAACACCATCAGACTGGTCTCTCTCAACATCCTACGACCAAATCTAGAAAGCTGCTAACATCGAAAACCATTCATTAATTCCTCTTTTCTTTCTGTTATAATTGTTCCCGTGTTTCCTCTCTCTTATACCTTCAATCTCTCCTCTTTTTTTTTTTTAGGAAAGGATCATAAAACTTTGACCAATACAGAATAAGCTTTATTTCTGAAACTATAATTATTAAACACCAGTCTTATCTCTATGGTTTCAAAGATTGGTTGACACAAAAATAAACTCTGTTCTGGCCATACGAGAAAGGACCCATTGGAGTATGAGGTTAAGGTCACAATACTAGAAATCATTTATCTTGAGACAAATACATGAATAGTAAGCTATTTTGAAATTTCTGGCTATGGCCAAACTCTGTACTCTTTGGGCCCTTTTCTTACATTTAAAATTGAAAACCATCATCACTTAAAATTAAATATAAACCATCTTTTCTGCTTTTTGTGAAAAGTTGATTCAACTTGTTGAGACTACTATTTGGAAAAAAATCTATGCCCTTTGGTGGCTAATAAATTTATATGTAATCCCATAACAAAATGCTGGCACACCACTGAAAACACCTAGACTTTCGTGAATTAAAATTTTTATATACCTTCATGCTTGAAAATTCTAAATTGTTGAATTAATCTCTCCTCTTTTGTGTCTCCCATCAAAATTTAAAGCTGCACAAGTTCAAGCCATCTAAAAACAAACTGCACACACATTCCCTTTCTGGGTCAAATTCCTTCTACCTGGACAATCCTATAAGCCTCCAGATATCCCTGAAAACTATTCTCACCAACTCTTTCAGTTCACTCCGTCTCCAGCCTTCACCTAATCCAGTTTCCGCTTTATCACTTCTGAGCTCCTCAGAGTCAGCAGGTGAGTCTGCATCACTTACTGATGGAGTACCTGTCCTCATCAGGCAGAACCTGAAACCCTGAACTGTTCCTTCCTCCTTGAAACTCCCTCTTCCGAGGTTTTGTGACACTCTCTCTTCACTTCTTGATTCACTCCCTGGGTATACTAGGTTAATCTCCCAGGATAGCTCCTCCTCCTGACAACTGCCCACCTCCAAAATGACGTACATTCCCCAAGGCTGCAACATACTACATACCATGACCTGTAAGGCCCTCTAGGATCTGGCCCGGGGGTATCGCTGAGATCACTACTTCCCACTGTCCCGCTCATTCAGTCTCCCCAGCCACAGCCGCTCCCTTGCCGACCTTGAACACGCCAAGTACAACACACCCTTAGGGTCTTCAACATGTCCGTGCCCTTATGCCTGGAACACTATTAACACTGCTGTCTGGTTTGCTTCCTCACTTTACGCAGACCTCTGATTAAAGATACCTTCCCTTACCCCATCCAAAAGGAATATTCTCCTGCAGCCTCGCTCTTTACTTTTGTTTTAGCCAGTTAAAATTGCTGGATGTAATACTATGTAATGTTTTTGTTTGTTTCCCCCATTAGTGTATGTGCTTCGGGAGGGCAGGGCCACGTGTGTGTCATTCACCACTGTGCCCATCCTCAACAGTTACAGCAGTGCCCGATGCACAGATGCTTTGTGCGTAACGGATAAATTAGTCATGCACGACTCGTACGCAAAGACAATTCAGAATATTATTTATTCCTCATATACCTACACTGAAAATATATTTACGACTACCAAATACTTAAGTGCTTCCAAATACTTAAATACGAATGTCCCGAAGGAATCTAGGTTTATAGAAAATTACAATAATTGATCGTATTGAGTTTCTCACAACAAATGTAAAAATATGCAAGCTTCACTCATGTACTCTTTCTACTGAAAAGTATATAAATACACACACAAACACACAATTAAGAACATTTCTAGTAGGCTATAAAATCATGGGTTCTCCCTCAAGAAGATACCCAAAATATCCCAAACCCTAGAGTTATTACAATAAAGAGTTAAAGACCAGCCCGGCCAGCATGGCTCAGTGGTTGAGCATTGACCTATGAACTAGGAGGTCACGGTTCGATTCCCGGTCAGGGCACATGCCCACATTGGGGGCTTGATCCCCANCAGCCCGGCCAGCATGGCTCAGTGGTTGAGCATTGACCTATGAACTAGGAGGTCACGGTTCGATTCCCGGTCAGGGCACATGCCCACGTTGGGGGCTTGATCCCCATTAGGGGGCATGCAGGAGGCAACCAATCAATGACTATCTCTCATCACTGGTGTTTCTATCTCTCTCTCCCTCTCCCTTCCTCTCTCTGAAGTCAATAAAAACATTAATATTAAAAAAAAAGTCAAAGACAAAAATGCACTTACCTCCCTTTTTCTACCAAGAGCAAGATGTCCACTTTTTCCCCATTCTGAACCATCGAGCTGATCGCTAGCGGGAGAAAAGCATGAGAACATCTTACTAAACACCCACTAAATACCCACAAAGACACAATTATTATACTCCTTAGTCATATGTCTGGAAGTGAACCCTCATAATTCTGAAGTAGAAGCTACCTTTACCATAAGTAATAAAAAATTGTGTCTAAAATACATAATAAGGGAAAAGAAATCTTACTCAGCTCTTGTAGTCGCCTTAAGTTCATTCTATCTTCCTGAACTTNACCATAAGTAATAAAAAATTGTGTCTAAAATACATAATAAGGGAAAAGAAATCTTACTCAGCTCTTGTAGTCGTCTTAAGTTCATTCTATCTTCCTGAACTACTTGCATTTGAAGGCAGAAACGCAAACTGGACTTGTCCTTAGCAAACCAGCCTTTCCTCCACTGATCCAGTGCATGGCAGTCTTTGTAGTACAGTTGACCAATCAAATCATAAGCAGCTTTTGTTAAGTTTTCAGCAACAAAGGGAACAAAATGCTGTTCAGACAATACAGGAAAGAAAGACAATGAAAATAGGAAACACTTTCTTTATCTACAGATATAAGGGAAGGTGGAAAACTTATCTTTGTTTTTCTATCTTAAAGATTTAGAAGTAACCTAAATTTCAAAATAATTTTTTAAACTTGTTATCAGTCTTAAAATTCAACGGCTAATAATGCATTTTCAAATGGCAGCATCTTAAACCACTTTTCTTAATATGTTCAGAACTGAAATGGGAAGACTNAATTCAACGGCTAATAATGCATTTTCAAATGGCAGCATCTTAAACCACTTTTCTTAATATGTTCAGAACTTTTCTGTTGACGTGTAGTACTTTCCAAAATCGAACCTTCGCTGTTTGTCTTCCTTTGCATCTTCTACAGAATCTGTCCATTTCCCCTTTTGGTATACCATGAATAAAATACCTACCCACAAAAAGTAACACAAAAATGACTTTATAGTATTGAAAAAAAATCCTACTCATCAAAACATGACCTTTATTTGAAGAACAATTTCCCCGAGGTCCTATATTAATTTCTTCTCTGCTTAAGGCTCTAGGAAGGTCACTCTTAACCTCTTTTGATTACAATCTTGGAAAAGCCTAATGAACTATGGACATTCTTCCCAGAATCTTGTATAAAATTTGCGTGGACCTCTAAAGCTCAACCATAGTCCTCAAGTTGAGAAACTCCTCTGGATTTATGGTGATAGTACAATATTTAAATACCTTAGCAATCGCCTCTGTCCATCTTCTTTGGGATTGAGATGTTTCAGCTCCAAATAAAAAGGCGCGTTCTGAGGGCAAATAGATCTCAAAGGTGAAGATGGGCCTATGGGACACACAAATAAAAAGACACCACCGGTTATGTCTGGCTCTTATGAAGACAATCACATAACGGTCAAGTTTTTATTTATTTAATTTTTTTTTGGTAATTCAAGATAATTTAATTTTTAATTACAGTTTATATTTAATATTATTTTGTATTAGTTTCAGGTATACAGCATAGTGGTTAGACAATCACATGCTTTACGAAGAATCTCCACACATACCTCCCTCCCCCTGGTATTTCAAGTACCCACCTGGCATCATATATAGTTATTACAATATTATTGGTTATATTCCCTATGCCATACTTTACATCCCCATGGCTATTTTGTAACTACCAATTCGTACTTTTTAATCCCTTCACATTTTTCTCCCAATCCCTCAAACTCTCTCCCTTCTGGCTACCATCTGTCTGTTCTCTGTATCAATGAATCTGTTTCAATTTTGTTTGTTTATTTCATTTTTTTTTTTTAATTTTATTTTTGTTTAAAATATTACAGATATCCCTTTTTCTCCCCAATGACCC